AGCGATAGGAGGCATGGCTCCAGAGTCACAGCTCCACACTCCCTGTGTCGAGAGGGTTGCTGCATTGAAGGCCTGTGGGCAATCAGCCTGGCGCACCACATTCCGGACATAAGCTGAGAAGTCACTCTTCTGATCTTCTCCTGCCAAGAGGTCCTTGAGATTTGCACCAGAGACGCCGTATCCCAGGATCTTCTCCAGCTTCGTCATGTCGCCGGAATATTTATCCGGCAGCTTGCAACGGCCAGCTGCATCCAGCACGCAAGGAAGAATGATGTCAAAACTTCCTCTGAGAATGCTGATCATACCGACGTTGCTCACACTTACCTTTCGCAGCACGTCGGTCAGGGTCTTGTGGTATTCATCCGCTCGGATGAAGACGAAAGCCGCGCTGTAGGCGAGCTTGGCTCCGAAGGTCAAAGCAAAGAAGGACTTGCGCTCCGTGTGTGCGTCCATGACACCCATCACTGATGCCATGTAGACCACGCCATACAACAGAAGGTGCGCAACGAGGCCAGAAGACAGGAAGGGTCGTAGGCCGCGGCTTGGCAAATCTGCCGGAGCTGTGCGCTCATAGGCAGAGCACCAGTTCAGCATGTCATAAGAGGCCCAGGCATACATGGCAAAAGAAACCCCGATCAGAAACCACTTCAGGAAGGCGCTCTCAGTTGCGGTGGCCACCCAGCACAAGATCACATACACGTTGGTGACGATCAGTGGCCTCGACACCTCGCGCAAGGGACGCCCGAGCGTGCAGTAGCCGGACAGGATCAGCATGATCGGAACATTGATGCCCCACTCCATGTACTGCATCGTATACACCGGGCGACCGGGTGCGGTGAGGCCGTCCGCACTCGGCATGACATGCGCAATGGTCCACTCAGCACGTGAGAAGAGGCGCTCGGCCGTCGCAAGCACGCCAAACATCACAGCCAGCAGCAGGGTGGGCAAAAAGCGGCTCTGGAGGTGGGGCACCAAGGCTTGTGTCTCCTGGGCTCCCATATACGTCGCAATGAGGCTCAATACCTCGTGTCCCAGCATGGCCACCAATGCTGCCGCAGAGATGACGTGGTAGTACCCGGGGTAACTCTGCAAGTGCTTAGCGCATGCAGGCACTTCGTGGCAGCTTACGGGTGCAGCCACCAGCCAGGAGATCGCCCATGTCGCCAGAGTGACGGCCACCTGAATGCAGCAACTTCTGTTTAACTGAAACCCTCCTTCCACCAGCAAAAAATGGAGCTAAATGAAAGTTGTGCTACCACATGTTGGCTCCAGAATTGGGCCGCGGGGCCCAGATGCCAATGTTCGAAAGAAGGCCCTTGCCCGCCATGACGTCGCTCTGGAGAGTGGGGTGCGGCAGCTTAAGCCCAAATAGCTTCTGGCCATGCGGTGAAGTGATGTCACACATGTGTCACGAAGCAATCGTTCTCGGAGCACTTCGCGACCATGACGACATGCAGAACACTTAGCCACACTGCCGGAAGGAAGTCTTGAAACGGGTCGACAGTGCCGCACGGGTAGGAAAATCCGGCGGCTGACAGGTTGCGCAGCGCAACATCAATTTGCAGGCATGTCTGAGTCAAGCAAACTATCTTCGTCCAAACAGATTTGCGCATGGGAAGACCAGCCAGACGTGCCCAAAGCCTCGCGATTGCGCTCGCAAGCGCTATCCTTATAAAACTTGAAACATGAGTCCGCTAGGGCTGGTGCGCATTGTGTCGCACTCTCTGTGTGCCCAGGAACTCGGCATGGAACAGCGGTGCAATATCCTTCTCTGTGATGTGACCAACTTCCCACCGTTCCACTGTTCTGCAGCCCTCTGCATCTACTGTAGATCATCTACAACAGACCACACCGCTAGAGGCATCGTCGCAGAACATGCATTTGCGGCACAGGCGCGCTGCGCGCAGATTGTCGCATGGAAACACTCTCGTGGGTACTATTGGCCAGCCGCACCTTCGGACAAAGCAGCAGAGAGCACATGATAGATAGATATATATATATATATATATATATATACATATATGTATATGTGTGTATATATATATATATATATGCGCGCATGCACTACTCCTAAATTGGGTGAAAGGCCAATGCCGAAGCTCGACCGGCCCTTAGCATGAGAACAGCACAGAGCCCAAAACAAGAGCCACTGCATTCAGAGACCTGGACCTTCTCAACTCCAAAATGTCAGTCGCTTTATCGGATCTCGAGCAAGCTCTGTGGCAAGAGAAATTGAGCTGGGCTCAACCATGCTCAACCTCTGGAACTGGAACTTGGGCGTTGCCCTCACGGCACCACGCACGCTCAGAGCGACTTGCGCAGCGCGATGACAGCACTAGTCATGGCGACCAAAGCAGAAGCGGCCACTGCGGGCTGTTCTTCAATCCAGCTGAAGAGCTTCGGACTGTAGGCCTTCGGAACCTGGCCCTGTCCCAATTGGTTCAGCTCCTCCTTGAGGCGTGTGGAGTGCATCGAGGCCTGAGATTTCGTCTCTTCGGTGGTGTGGCGGCTGAAGAACTCTGGGTCAGGCTCAAGCTCGGGCGCCAAGGAACGCTGCGAGCGCGGCGCCGCAGGCTCCACAAACTTCTGCACGCGCTCCATGATGCAGAGCCCGGGGCCATCGAAGCTTTGTGGTCGCTTCAGGCTGGAGGTCCCCGGCCCGCAGAGGTGCAAGCAGCCGTCCTGGAACTTGAAGATGTAGGGGATGGCCGGTGGCGGGCAGCTGCTTCCGCTTGGGAGCACTTCAATGTCCAGATGGCCCTTGGACGCATCCATGCGGAAGACAGCTGAGAGAGTCTGCCCCATGACGGTGACGTTCGCATGCAAGCAATCGTTGAGGAACTCGATACGCTGGCGATAGCCACCCAGGGCCTTAGCCACGTTGCCTTCCCAAACACCCACGATGCGAGCGTCGAAAGCCACGGCACCCACGGCCACCTGTTGCTGTGCAAAGGCGCCCAAATGCGACATGGTCTCCTTAGGTGTTGGGAGGGACTGGGAATCACTGGGAGAGAGTGGGTGGCATTCTAGATAGGGCAGGCCTGCAACTCTTTGGACATGGCAAGTATGCTTGAAACGCCCTTGCAGATTCAGGCGAGTCTCCGCAGAAGTGAGAGTGTGGCCGAAGTAGTTGCTGGCCTCGTCGGTGACCTCCGGGGTGTTTCCAAGCATCGCCGATGCACCAAGCTTCGTGAGATCTGCGAGGTTAGCGACAATGCCATGGGATGAGCCCTCATTACTGCTGGGATTGGTAGTGGATCCCACAGAGCTTTGGCCTGCTTTGAACGTTGCGAAGTTCGTTGCGGCTGCAGGCTCCTCCTCGTTCAAGCTCTCGGGACTGGAGATCTGGAAGGCGGCCACCAGCTGCCTCTCCTTGCCCAAACTCAGCGCAGAGCGCGGCACCACGGAGAGGTGGAGCGTGGTGTTGAGCTTTTGACTGGACTTCTGCTGGATTTTGCTGTGCAGCACCTGAGCGATAGGAGGCATGGCTCCAGAGTCACAGCTCCACACTCCCTGTGTCGAGAGGGTTGCTGCATTGAAGGCCTGTGGGCAATCAGCCTGGCGCACCACATTCCGGACATAAGCTGAGAAGTCACTCTTCTGATCTTCTCCTGCCAAGAGGTCCTTGAGATTTGCACCAGAGACGCCGTATCCCAGGATCTTCTCCAGCTTCGTCATGTCGCCGGAATATTTATCCGGCAGCTTGCAACGGCCAGCTGCATCCAGCACGCAAGGAAGAATGATGTCAAAACTTCCTCTGAGAATGCTGATCATACCGACGTTGCTCACACTTACCTTTCGCAGCACGTCGGTCAGGGTCTTGTGGTATTCATCCGCTCGGATGAAGACGAAAGCCGCGCTGTAGGCGAGCTTGGCTCCGAAGGTCAAAGCAAAGAAGGACTTGCGCTCCGTGTGTGCGTCCATGACACCCATCACTGATGCCATGTAGACCACGCCATACAACAGAAGGTGCGCAACGAGGCCAGAAGACAGGAAGGGTCGTAGGCCGCGGCTTGGCAAATCTGCCGGAGCTGTGCGCTCATAGGCAGAGCACCAGTTCAGCATGTCATAAGAGGCCCAGGCATACATGGCAAAAGAAACCCCGATCAGAAACCACTTCAGGAAGGCGCTCTCAGTTGCGGTGGCCACCCAGCACAAGATCACATACACGTTGGTGACGATCAGTGGCCTCGACACCTCGCGCAAGGGACGCCCGAGCGTGCAGTAGCCGGACAGGATCAGCATGATCGGAACATTGATGCCCCACTCCATGTACTGCATCGTATACACCGGGCGACCGGGTGCGGTGAGGCCGTCCGCACTCGGCATGACATGCGCAATGGTCCACTCAGCACGTGAGAAGAGGCGCTCGGCCGTCGCAAGCACGCCAAACATCACAGCCAGCAGCAGGGTGGGCAAAAAGCGGCTCTGGAGGTGGGGCACCAAGGCTTGTGTCTCCTGGGCTCCCATATACGTCGCAATGAGGCTCAATACCTCGTGGCCCAGCATGGCCACCAATGCTGCCGCAGAGATGACGTGGTAGTACCCGGGGTAACTCTGCAAGTGCTTAGCGCATGCAGGCACTTCGTGGCAGCTTACGGGTGCAGCCACCAGCCAGGAGATCGCCCATGTCGCCAGAGTGACGGCCACCTCAGTGCAGCAACTTCTGTTGAGCTTAAAAAAATCTGCAAGCTGTTAGCCTAGAATCTAGTCAAATGACCCCTGTGCTATCACATGCTGGCTCCAGAATTGGGCCGCGAGGCCCAGATGCCAATGTTCGAAAGAAGGCCCTTGCCCGCCATGATGTCGGTCTCTCGAGAGCGTCTGACGGCGCGGCGTTTCACGGACAAGCTTCAGCCCAAATCGCTTGGAGTGTGTTACTTTCGATTGCGGCGCGGTGCACAATGCCGATGCTACAAAGCCATCAATGCACTGTGTCACTGCCACTTGCCAGCAAAAGACACTGGATGATCCTGGTTGTTGCGGACCAAGGCCGGTACTGGTGGCACTGATGATGTCGAAGGCCTACATCTGCAACGGACTAGCATGCAGCTGACAAGGCATCGGCAGTGCAGGCCTCGCCGATCGTGGGTCTTGGGCTTTTTCGTAGCCTCGCAACTTGGAGGAACTCTGATTGGAGCTCTACGAGCCGCACTCACTCCCTCAAGAAACAGAACAGTGCAACATAGTGCAAGACCCAGGTGATCACACAGGACAGGTCAGAACACCACTTTTCAGGTCACAGGCATTTGATGGACTGCGCCAGGGCCCTTTGCTTTCAGCATTTCTCCCTGCGCCTTTGCAAGCATCACTACTTTCGGTCTGCGGATGTCTGCGGTGTCTCTCTAAAGGCGCCGAAGCAACTAGCAAATGGCTGCAATTGTCTCCCTCATCAACCACGAAGACGATTGCATAATGGTATTCCGTTCCCGCCGCCTTCCTGGTGCTTGGGACTTCGGGACTCTACCACATGCCCGAGTACCACTGGAAGGGGCTGGACAGGCACTGGCACCAGCATCTTCTGTGAATCAGCTTACGGCGGCAAGCGTGGGTGGGAAGTCGTGTTGGTGCCGGGGCACGTCTTTAGCGGTACGACGACTGACCATAAAGCCGCGAGGGAAGACAACCACGTGTCGGACATTGACATCATCTCTTTTTTTGCTACCGACTTTTGACACGAAGTCTCTGTCAGACACATCCTAGGTTCGTCTGAATCATCACTTCCTTTTTCAGCATTTTACGTGTTGGCGGTGTTGCCTGTCTTCGCCTTGGGTAACCTCACGGCGTGTTGGCTACTGCACGTCACTATCATCGAATGCAAGTTTGGGCTCTGCCTTTCTTTGCCGTGCTACCACGACGTGGTCAGCGTCAGCCTGCAGAAACTAAGGGGTCTGACGGACCTGCTGAAAAATTCTCAGCCGAGGCAGCCTGTGCTGCACTCTTCGAACATTGCGCGGCGGTGGGCACCTCGCCCGCCGGGCTGTCGTTGAGTTCTAGATGTCCAGGTAGAAGACAGGTCCTCTGTGTCGAGGCAGAGGAAGTCGGCATGCAAAGATCCACTCGACTGACTCGACTGTACTGGATTCAGCTCTTAGTTAGCTTGTTTAGTGCTCCTGAGAGTGCCAAGCAAGAAGGCAAGTTCTGGATGCTATTATGCTGAGTGCAGACATGTCGGCAGCACACCGTGGCAACTCAGCGCGAAACATGGTGCACAGCAGGTGCTGCAACGTGACGTCCGTGAGCTTGGGGAGACCTTCTGGATCTCTGCACAACATGGGGTGTTACGTACTCGTCAACAAACCTACTCACATCACCGACGCGTGCCCTTCACAGTCTGAGCAGGCGCAGCTCCAGTTTTCGTACTTTTGTGACAGCACAAGCAGGAAGAACATCAGCATTTAGACGGTCCGCCGCTGCAGGCGCACTCTTCACCAGTAAGTCCGACAGCAGGTTGAGCTTGCATGGCGACACTCCCTGTTGCATCCGACCTGGCCTGTGCCGGCTTGGTCCACGGCTCCTGGCAAAACAAACAGCGACTGCCAAACCACGAGAAGCTGTCACACCCTGTTAACTTGAACAGCGAGGGATTGCGTGAGCCGTGAATCCGCGAGATCGGCCCAACTGCCGATGGAGCCATGGACTCGGAGTTCTCGATCTTGGCTTCATCCTCGAAAACAGCGCAGCTGACAGAAGCCAGAGATTGTGAGGCTGCTCCTCACCTTCATACACTTGAACATAGACGGCACCTGCAGCCTGTGAGGAGATCGATAGGTAGACAGACACTGTAGAGACAGACAGACAGGCAGACAGACTGCCAGACAAACATATGTTTATGCCCGTGTAAATATGCGGTGTTCACCGGAGCAGAACCCCACCACCTAAAGCATAAACAGAGAGGAGGCGATGGGTGTCAATGCAATGATCCGCATGTGCGCCAGAGAGCGACAGGCACCATGGGCAAGGGACAACAATAGAGAACCGCTACCTGCAGTGCAGTAAGAATCGCAATAATGATGACACTGCTACTGACCAATAGCTGCAAGCGCTGAGCCGCCAGTCCAATGTAATTACAGCATGCGACGAGCCGTCCACGATGGCAGCTTTTGCTTAGTTGGCATGCTGGAGCAACAACGACACTTATACTGAAGCTTGGAGCGAGGGCCGGTGTTCCTGCTCAGCAGCACCAACCGCGAACACCAAAGGCACCACCCCATAAGGAGAGGGGCACAGAAGCCGAGAGACCACGAACACAAGCAAGACCACAGGCACCATGCCACCCGGGGTGCGCGGGGATACCATGGGGTGCGGGGGCGGGGCCTCAGGCCCTAAGTACATCAAAAAAGACAGAAACCACAGACGGATGGGAAGGGCGGGCCAGGGTGAGTGAGTGTGCGAGAGAGCGAGCGAGCCAGTGAGTACCGATCCCTCGAGGACAGGTTGGGCTGACCCGTGGAGTCATCCAATCTGCACCCTGGCATGGATACTTAATTTTACAGCCGCGGTCACACCCAATTAAGGTCTGGAGGAGTCACCGAGCACGGTTTCTGACAGTCAAGGAGGGTCCACAATATCTGACCAGAGACCCACATGCTTCTTGTGGGTGGTGCTTTTGGGGTGTGGTGCAGGAAGACAGCCAGAGCGTGCGTGACTCCTCCTGGGCGCGCCTGAAAATGAAAGCACATCAACTGAAGTGTTCCCGACAGTGGTCCTCGCTGCAGTCGCTGGAGCCTTAGTTGGGGGCACAGCAGCTACCACTGAAAGCAGGAGAAGCACTAGACAGGGTATAGCTCGGTCGTAAGGCTCCCTGCCCGAAGTATCCGATGCAATCTCCGTCCTTGCAGGACACATGCCTAGCGGCCTAGCCGCTGATGTGGAGCGCAGCATGTTGCCGATTGCGATGTGACTGAGCCGTGGACAGGCTGCTCTGGCCTCGGGCTCGTAAGACTGCTCTGAAGGCAAAACTGGCTCATGCGAGACCCTGAGCATCTGGCAGCACAGGCTGCAAATGTGCATAGTAGGCTCCTGGAAGACTCGAGACTGGCAGCCGCAGCCGAGAGCCTTTCGCTGAGACCCTGGGCGAAGTCCTCTTGTGGCAGGAGCTGCGCCTTGAGGCAACGGCACACAACTCTTCATCCATGCGAAGATGGAGGGTCTCTTAGGGGCTGAAATTTGGTAGGATGATATAAACCCCAAAAAGTTAAAGGTTAGCTACTCCACTAATTACTACGGTTACTGCGGTTTTGCCTTCAGGTACTCCTGAGCTGCATCCATGATTGACCTCGGGACAGCGGCGCGAAAGATGCCACAGCTGAGAACGCGCTAGGGCCGTAAGGGCAACCGAGGTGCGTCACGGAACCCCAGGGTCGGCAGGTGCTTGAGGCGATGATCTGCCCTACTTTGGAGCCAGACATGGCAAGCATTGTAAGGGCTCATCAGTTGTCGGGGTCTGTCCATGGAGGGACGCTCTCCGCAAGAGAGGCGGACCCTGATTAATCAATCTTGCTTCTGTTGCTTCGCCCCCTCCCTGCCGCAAATGCCGGCCGCGCTACAGCAACAAACCACTCTCAACATACCGATGGCGACCAGAGTGATAAAGATCATGACGACAGTCTGACCGTCATCTTCATGCTGGATACGGTTACACGGCCTCTGGTGACGGAGTTCTGTGGTTGTGCTGCTGCTGATGGTGGTGTGGCAGATGAAGAAGGCAAATGTCATGGACAAGGTGTGCTTATGAGAAAGTGGCTGCGATGGTGATGATGCCGACAACGCTGTACATGTTTTGGCTTGTGTTGCTGTAGACCGGAAACGATGGATTAGGATTGAGGCGGTGACCAGTTTTGATGAAGACGAATACAAACTTCCGGATTACCGTGCTGCTGGTGACGCCTGCCGGCGAGGGTGGGGATAAAGCTCTTTGACATGGTCGTCAAGGATTCCGTGGTTTCGAGAGTTATCGGACAACCTACCTGCCGAAAGCATGACCTGCTGCAATGCTGCACTGCTACGTCAGTCGTTCTTTTCTCTCAAGGAACTCCTCGGTTTTTCCCTCGGAGAAGGAGAACCTGCCCCGCGGAGCACAGAAGCCGAGTGTTGCATGGGCGCCCTCAGCAGGGCTTCTCACGAAACCCACCTCGGCCTTGAGATGGAAGCCACGCCCGTCTGCATCTGGTGTGGCACATGGTTCCCGAAGCTATGGGTTGAGCCAGACACATCTTCCAGTGTCCTGGGGCTTGTAGGTCTTGGATCCTGGACCACGTAGAAGGAGTCGCGTCTCTCGTCATACACTCAATGTGCATCCAGTCCATCTTCATCTTGCCGTTGTTGTAGCTAAGGCCCTGGGAGCCCGCACCACCGAAAAGCACCCCTCCGAGACTCCGCCTGCGGCTCTGCTCAGACTGGGGTCATCCGAGGCCTTCCCCATTATAGCCTCCCCGGCTCTCTGACAGGTGCTGATGTCATTGGCAACCCACGCAACGGTTCCGCCGGGCAATCCTGCCGTGCTGGATGCCGCTCCTGCTGCAATGACGAAGCCAGCGTCGCTAGTCAGCACCGCGGCGATTTCAATGTATTCCATGCTGCGATTCCAGGCCATGTCGGGTCTGGAACACCCACCTTAATATTGGGAGATGAGTCTAAGACCAGAAGATGAACTTCGCGTCGCGGCCAAGCCTCTTCGTTTTGGTCCTTTGGGGGGGCGGCCAAAAATCCAGGCATCTTGTAGCTGGAAAAACAAAGAAGAGCAAGATCAGCAGCGGCGGCCGACGGCCGGAAAAAAACCAAGTGCAAAGAGTGAACAGCCCACGATCCTCGGAAAAGCCGAAGCGTCAAATCCTAATGACACTTGCTTGATCGTGATCCGTCCCAGGAACGACCAGGAACAAGCCATGGCTAGGATGGTCGTACTACGCAAGCCTGCTGTTGAATTCTACATGCTTGCAAGGGACGGGGCAGCAGCAACAGTTAACAGATACTTCTGCATCCGAGGATCATCGTGAAAACTGCTTTCGATGTCAGCTTGCGATCAACGAGCGTGCGGTCATCAGCTCCCATGTGATCGTCTGCACCACTATGGAACTCCACATAGGTGTTCACCAAGTTAGAGACGACAAAGCGGGCAACGGAAGCTCAAGCAGTCAGACTGAAAGCACCCCAGTTGGTGGGGCTTGGGCGAAAAGCAAAGTCACATCCCTGGAGTATACGGCATACATGCTATTGGAAATTTGGAAATGTCCAAGGGCATGTCGCCACGATCCTGGCCATGATGGAAGCCACATGCGCTGTACAAATGTCAACTTGAAATGGAGTGTTGCATTGGCGCAGTGAATGCTCGGATATGTAATCGCCGGCCGTGTCTGGGAGGCCCTGCCCAAGCCGTCATCTGTCGGTTTCGGCACCTTCGGGTTCCTTCCGCGGTGGCTTCCACTTCACTTGTGGCCCAAGCTGAGGATGCAGGCACCTGGCAGGCCATGCGCCGAGTAGCGACGCTGTGAGTTCAGCCGCCGAGTCATCACAACAGGCCAGCTCCACGGTAGAGGATCTTCTTCGGCTCGCCCGTTGCAAACGCATCACAGCATCCCCGTCCCGCCACTCGACCTCGGCTTCGCAGATCCCCTGCGTCTTGGTCTCCGGCCACATAGCACCTAATCTGAAGCTCATGTTGTCCAAGGACAGATCAAATTCTGTGACTTTGTAGGCGGTCTCGTGCGTTTTCCTTGGTTCACAGGGGTTGAGTTGTCAAAATGCAAGTCGAGCTCATTCCAGTACGAGTCCTTTGAAATTGTACTGCAGCATCTGAGAGTCTTGAACGCATTGAAGTTGTCTCCATAATTCTCACCCCAAACCTGTCAGGCAGGGCACGACCTACAAGGATGCGAAGACTCAAGGCATAAGTTTGGCACCTTGTGAGTCTTTTGACGCACACGCAAGCTTGATCCTACCCTGGGTTTTGTACCCTGGGTACCCTGGGTTTTGTACCCTGGGCCCCGGATACACCCTGCGCAATCGCCACTAAACGAGGGTTGCTTGAATGAGTCTTCAAAGCAGCGCCCTCCGCACACCACTCTGCCTTCAAGCACGATTTAGAACGTGAAACGCGCAGAAGATCTGACACGTCTTCGGCTTCTTCAGCTGATTGCACGTTACGTTGTGCGACTGGCCAAGAAACAGCCTAGCTGTGGAAGCTCTTCCTCGACTCGCACAGGATCATGGAGCAGCAAGCAGCGGCGCTGTGCCTCTAAGGCTAAGGCCAACCCTGGGAAGGTTAGGCTCTCGGCTGGTTGCCAGACTGATGCGGCGAAATGCGTCTTTCTGTAAACTGACGCTGCCACACCCCCTTGCTTGAAAAAAGGCGCACCTTCGACCCCTGCACCCCGTGTGGAGATTCCTTGAGACGGCTGAGGCTCGTGAAGGGTGGATCCTGATAGATCCCATAGTACGCTCTTTGACGTGTCTTGCAATACTACCAGCAAGCCTGCCTTGCGCGGCCTCTGAGCAAGCTAACAGCTACGCAAGGTCGGCTTCCAGTTCTAAGATAGTCTAGGATTCTCACATTGCCCGCATTGGTTCGAAGACCCGGGATCCTCGGTACATGCCCTGCATATGCCGTGCTCGAACAGTTGTGCGGCAGAACACTCCGCCTACGAGCACGGCCTAGGATGAGGAGCGCAGTCTGCATACCTGACACATCTCCAACTGATTCTTCGGCTGACTGGCCAAGGAAGAGTCTACAAAGGCCAATCTGACGCGGAGGCTTTGAAGGGAGTTTCACGAGACGATGGAACTTGTGGCTGCACATCTGGTCCTGCACATGCTTCCAGAAATCTATATTACCTGCAGCATAACTGGCTTTGGGGAGTGTTTGGGTTATGGGATTATGGGTCTGTGTGTGGGATTGATACATCCAACGCCTGCCGTGCCGCCGGCACCTGCGCCGAGACCAAAGCCCGCGCACAGACCGGCAAAAGGTCTCAATCTGACCCCTGACGCAGCTCCAAATATTCCATGCTCCCATCTGGGTATATCTCAACAGCAAGTTCTGTTCCGTACACCCGACATCCTTACTGTAGGTACCCCTCGCATTTGTTTAGGAAGCCCCATCGCAAGGCCGGAGTCGCACGGCTGCACGTGTAAGGCAAACTGGGTGAGAAGCAGTAAAATGATGCCGCCACACTCAGGGGCGCATCAGAAGGCAGGCGGCCAACGGACTGAGGATTTGATGACAGCACAGTGGTAGTTGCAGGATGCAGCAGCTTGACCGGCCACGTGTCGCAGCAAGTAAGGCCAGCACTAGCTGGACAGTAGTTGGACATATGTGCGGTGGTCATGCCCAGGAATTTATCTGGATAAATTCCTGCGGCATGAGGGCAGATCGAGAATTCGAAAGGGGTCAAGGCTTCAGGAATCAAGGATGTTGGAAGCTCATTGGATTGGACGTGGACTGAACTGCTTGAAATTTTAGTCCCGTGGGCCGAACCCCCACACCTAGCCACATGGCCAACACCAATTTGAGAATGCTGGTCGCCCAGAAACTCCCAAACCTACAAACATATCGAAGATGAAGATGATAGCGAGCATTGGAGCGCACGACGAATGAGCTGCTGCTCTGGTCAAGGAAAAACGCATGTTTGTCGGATCAAAACGAGCACATCTTTGGACCATCATGACGCTCTCTGCGGCATGCAACACGCAATGAACATGAGTTTTGAACTGCTGCAAGGCGGCCCAGTGCACGGGAAATGAATTTATGGGGGCGTCAATGTCAAAATTGTATTTTGGTCAGCAATACGTACCACGGCAAACAGGGGCCACTACAACTCTCATAGGGATCTTACGGCTAGCGTGGCTATGGCACAACCTTGCGGCGGTACCATCACCCAGAGTTAAAACCCAACCGCCACTGATAGCTTAAGGGGAAGGATGCCTTACGGCGCGGCTGCAGCCACGGCCCGTTGCTCACTTGCCTCATAAGCGGTAGCAGCTCTCCTGCCGTGATCATCGAAATTTGGGATTCATCTTCCAGCAAACCCCCCAACACGCAGGAAATAAAAGCCTGCAGACCGCAACGGCGGCTCGAAATTATAATCCTGTATGAAGCAATGGTGAAAACACAATTTTGGCCTTAAGGCGCCCGCACTTTGTTTGGATGAATATAGCTGGGGCAGATTCACAATGAAGCATTGATGTGTTGTTGACTCTCTTTTTGTGGCCCCTGCTGCTGGAACTCAGGGCCTAAACGAGGTTCTATCCGGAAAATTCCTTTCGGCTGACCTTCATCAGGACCGTTCTCGTGGATAAAGTTCAGGTGACCCAGTTGGCCTGCAGAAGCCAAAACCGCTAGGATCATGACAGTTTTTGATGTCGACAGACTCAATTTTATGCTGGATGGTTACCTTCAGAGCCCTCTGAAATTCAGTCTGCAATCTAGGGCACGAGTTGGAAGTTGGGCTGGCATGGATGAAGCGAAGGCTATACAGCCCGACTCAATTCTAGAATGTCGAACATGTCTTGAACTTTGGGGGGCAGCTTCATGGATGTGGATAACATCCAAAGAGTTACCCTCCAAGCACATCATCAGTCACATCATGCCGAAGGCATTTTGGGGACTGCTGTTGTGAGGTCTTTCTGACCTGTCCTCAAATCATCTGTACCCTATGTGGCGGCATCACACTGATCTATGGTAGTCATGCCCTTCAACAGTACCAACACCCCGTTTCCCAAATACTCGCCTTACCAGGAGCCCCCTTGCGCTTCTAGTCTAAGAAGGTCTGTTTCATCCAGCGCGCGCATTTCAAGCGCCAACAGCAGCACTTCATTGAAGACAGACTTGAAGACCAGCAGTTTGCGTGTTATAGGGAAGCTGTCGATTCGCAACAGTACTGCAACGTGCAAACCGTCCTAGCCGCATCGATACGCTTACTCACTTCAATCCTACAGGAAAGCTGAGCTCAAATCTGTGCACTGAGGTAAGGTCTCGGTTTGTGCAGTCACCTGAGGGCAGGTGCTTTGGCAGATGCCAGGCTGCAGGAGTCTCAGGTGAAAGCAGTCCCAGATCGAGTTGCCCCCTGTGCCCTGCGCAACGTCCTCAGGCAAGCTGTCAACCGTGATGTGCTGGAAAATGGAACTTCCAAGGCTATGCCCCTCCAAAATCAGAATCTTGTCGACAAGTGCTCGTTTCCAGGCCCTGGTCTGATGAATAAGATTGGTTCTTCGAACGCGACGCCATACTGCGGACAGTGAGATAAGGGAACCATAGTGGAACTAGGAAGCTGGTTCCATTTTCCCAGGGAAGATGTGGCCCAATGCAACTCACGACATATAATGGGACCTGATAATCCAGGCAGAGGGCACTCTGCAAGTTCAATTTCCTATTGGTGGGGGGATGGCAAGCTGCTGTCCGGACACTCATGGCGCGGCTGCAGGAGGCCCCTGTGACCCATCAGCAGAGCCGTACCAGCGACAGTCATGCCAAGAAGTTGATCCTTCCACCTCGCAACGAACCCTGTCGCCGCCAAAAACGAAGGGGCAGAGCGAGCCATCTTCAGTCACCGTTGACAATTGCTCAGTCGCAAGTGCTCCAATTAGTGCTGCGAGCTCCAGTCTGGTGTTGCCGTTGCGCTCCACTTAGTAGATGCCCGCAGCCAGAAAAGCCGCCGAACCCTCAACTTTGAGCAAATATCAGCAAGGCCCACGACTTGTCGAAGGAAGTCCAGAAGGCTATGCGGCTGCCGAGAGCACATTCTCGGGAAGTTACACCAGCAGCGACAAACTGAACCAGCAGGTCATGCGAAATCAGATGCACGATGGGATGAAAGTCGTGGTACCGCACGGCAGGGAGATACGGGAACTGGAGGCTTGGAGTTGCAACACGTTTTGGCTCGGCAAAGACAGCCAGCCAAAGATCTGATGTCTGCCATGGCTGCTTGGAACGCGACGACTCCCGAGTCCCCGGAGTCCGGGACTCTTCCGAGGGGACCACCGAGATGGGCGGGCGCTGCGGCCAACATGCGGAAGTTCGCCGCACATCATGAAGCCTTGCAGTCCGTGGAGGACATGGAGGGTTCAGTGCAGCTGGCAGTGTCCAAAGAGACGCGGAATGGCAAAACCTGCTCAGGATTCGTCCTACAAAACCTCATCGTTGCTGAGGGTGGCGAGGTTCAGCAAGGTGCAGCGCCGAGTCTCTTGGTTCGCCGGCTTGACCCAATGGGCCCAAAAAAGCAGCGGTGCATACACAGGGAACTCAGAGAGCCTTTCCGGCGCCCAGCCCTAGCAGCTAGGTTGCAGGTGGTTCTGCTTCATGAGAGCTTCTCGAAATGGGGAGTAGTTAATTTTGGGGACAGAAAAAGATAATTAAGCCATCTGTACACCCTGCGTGCTGTCCGCGTCTGCGAGACGACCCGCAACAAAAGGACCCAAAACAACTTACAGCAACCAATCGCGGCCAGGCAAAGAGCAGGAGCACTACGCTCAGAGGGAGCGCCGGCCACAGGACAGGCGAGTGACTTTGAAGTGACCGTTAGGCCTTTACCCATCCCAATGTGCTGGCCAGGCTGTGTTGCGAGCTTCTGGCTTCACGATATGCCTTGGTTTGAGACATCGCATGCCAAGAGAGACTACGGTTGTGTAGAGCTCCGACACAAGCACGAGTCTGAACTCATGCGGTTCCAAACAAGCAAGCAAGCATACAGCTGAGACTCGATACGACTCTTAACCCCCAGCCCCCATGTCTGCAGAACCCCTGGGGCCAACGGAAATGTAAAATGAAGGTCGCGCTGAAATGACATGGACAGTACTTGAGAATGAACAGGAAGTGTACTTTAGTTCGGCCTGGGTATGTATGGTGCCCTTGCAGATGGCATGCTGGCAAATCATAGTATGTTTCGGGGCGTATAGGGCAGCATCTACGAAATCTTGGAGTTCATGTTTCGAACTGCTTGAGACCGCCTGGAATCCCCTTCATATGCTCTCGCCAGTAACGCCCTGAGTTGAGAAACGCAACTATCGGCACAAGGCATGCAACAAACGCAACGAAGATCTACAACGCATCCTTCATAGCTGTTCTGTGGAACACGCGTGCAGGTCTGGTCGTTTGTTGCATCTCAGCTGAGGCATCAGCTGTAGTAGGCGTAGGTGTCAAGCACGGACTGGCTTCCTGTTATATGCTCAGACTACAGACACCGTTGATCTCACTCCTTTTTGCAGTGAGCTGAAAGAAGCATGCATCAGGAAGCAGAAAATAAGTGTTTCATGTGACAACAAACAGCCTATATTCTACCCTTGACAACCCCGAATGTCATCATTGAGGACTCGGTTCTTGGCTTTCTTCCAAGCCAAGCTTGCCAATGTGCAGAACGCAGGCTGCTGCGAAACAGACTTCGGCAGGTGTGTCTCAGGCAGAGCAATTTGCGGGAAAGCATGCTAACGGCCAAAAACCTCACGTGCGCACGGATCCGGCAGATGGGCAGGCTGATGCTGGCCAGGCTGACCTTTGGCCAAAGTGAACGCACCAAGCGGACCATGCGTGACATCTTGGCACCTGAGTGGCAAGTGCAGCGTTGCACAGCCAGCCTCTCACGCAGCACACGCAAGCCTTGACGACGTGCTCCCAGTTGCCGGGCTCCCCGGGCACCCATTGCGGTCACGTGCGGATGTACTCGTGCACAAGGCTCCAGGTCATGCAGACTTGGACAGCAATGCAGCGGCTCTTGTTCCAGGCAACCAAAGGTGTCCACTGTGCCCAAGCTCTGCAAGAGTGGAACTTAAGAAGCCAGAAGAAACACGTGGCACTGAAGCCAAAGAACCCAGAAGCTGCGCGACTCGCAGCGGGCACTTGAAAGCAGCAGCTGGCATGCAGCGGTGCTGAAAGGGTTCCAACCATCAGCTACCTGCGCACATGGAGCTGACGCCAGCTGCGCTTGAAATCGGAAGATTGCAAGGATTGGAGGAGCAAAGTCGGGAAGCCAAGACCAAGCCGGCCATGCCACGACGCAGCAGAGGCGCTCAAGGAGAAGGCATGGAAGCGGAGATGCAGAAAGATCTGACGCCCAACCCCCCCCCCCCCCACACTCGAGCACTAGGCTCCAAGTCACGCTGAAGGGAAGATCGGGCAGCGAGCAGCTAGGGCACCTCTAGCCCTTTGCAAACGACTTCAACCAGAATGCTTGGGCCGACAAACGGCAAAGAATGACACAGACCTCATCTGGGCATCTGGACTTGAGGATATCCGCAGGCAGTTGCAGCTCAGACACCCAGCATGATGAATATGCGGCCCAAAGACTGGAAACCTTTGGAAGATCGCATGAAAAGCAGCAGCGCTGAAATCCGCTGCTGGCGCAGGCGATCGACTGAGACACAGGCCTGAGTGCTGGCTCCCTGCCAAAAGTCTAGCATGAGCAGGCGAGAAGGTCAGGTTGGCTAATCGATGTGTCTGCTCCAGGCACACGCAGCCGGGATGACTCGCAAGCAACTTGAGCGGGCCAAGGGTGTACAGGATCATGGAGTCATGGAGCTGTGCCTCTAAGGCTTAGGCCAACCCTGGGAAGGTTAGGCTCTCGGCCGGCTGCCAGATTGATGCGGCGAAGTGCGTCTTTCTGTAAACTGACGCTGCCACACCCTCTTGCTTGAAAAAGGCGCACCTTCGACCCCTGCATCCCGTGTGGAGATTCCTTGAGACGGCTGAGGCTCGTGTAGGGTGGATCCTGATAGATCCTATAGTACGCTCTTTGACGTGTCTTGCAATACTACCAGCAAGCCTGCCTTGCGCGGCCTCTGAGCAAGCTAACAGCTACGCAAGGTCGGCTTCCAGTTCTAAGATAGTCTAGGTCTAGGATTCTCACATTGCCCGCATTGGTTCGAAGACCCGGGATCCTCGGTACATGCCCTGCATATGCCGTGCTTGAACGGCTTAGGATGAGGAGTGCTGTCCGCATACCTGACAAATCTCCAGCTTTGGGCATAGCGATTGATTCTCCGGCTGACTGGAGAAGGAAGCGTCTACAAAGGCCAATCTGCGGGGGAGTTCCAGTTCCTGGGCCTCTGCTTCGAAGCTGCATGGCATGTCAGACCTGACAAAGACCCAAAGCCCATCAGACACGCAACAGGTCAAAGAGTTGGACATACGGCGTCATCTGACGCAAGCCGGCACCTGCACATGGCACGTGAGTTGAACGAAGCTCGAAGCCAAAATCAAAACCTGCTAGCTGGCTCTGGGCGCTCGATGGCGCGGAGGACCGGGATGGCAACAAAAGTCCCACCTACGCCGCAGCCATATCACCCACCACTAGGGGAGGGCGTGGCAAGAGCAGTTGCAGGCCCGCAGGCAACGGCAGTCTGCGCGATGTCCCAGTCGCGCACAGCTCGCATGGGAGGATCCCTTCACCACAGAGAATGCGAGACGATGAAGCGGGAAGGTGTTCGGACATGTGGCTGTGGCACAACGAGAGATCCGGCAGCAGGTGCTGTGGCGGTGAGCATGGAGCTTTCGGCTTGCAGCAAGCCGCTGAAAAGCTTCTGAGCAGGGTCGCTGTGGTTGGTGGCGCTCACAGGCGCCTGGCCATGCTGACGTGGCGGCACGTGACACCAGCTGCAAGTGCGCAGCTGGAACTGGCCAAGTTGGGCACTACACATGTGGAAGGCGGCAAATGCAGAGGGAGCTGCCAGAACTGCGGCAGCTCATAGAACACCTTGTGACCCGGAGGCTTTGAAGGTAGTTTTGTTACTGCTGCGAAGACACTCTTGCCAGCCTCACGTATCTGTTTTCATGGATAGAGACGCAGATGCATTATGATGAATGCATTACACGGCGCAGGCGGTGCAGGGCACTCTGGAGGAAGGGTTGACGGCGAAACAACACAAATGAAAGGAGTTGCAAAGCGCAAGCTCAGCAAGAACCTAGGACTTCCTGCACCAAGGTCGCGCACTTCCCCTTCCCGAACACTTGCTCTGGGCTTCTCCCAGCATGTGTCCAGCAGCTGGCATGCCCAACTGGGTGAGGGCCATGCTTCAGGACCATGTCTACCCTTGCCATCTCCGTACAGCTTTCTTTTTAAATGCTGGAACTTCAAACAGCAGCAGGCAGGTGCATGAAAACGTCGAGGACTCTTGCAAACTGCATGTTGAAGTAACATGGGTATATTTGGGGTATGTTCGGAGTATAGCGGACGTATATCGTAGGTAGAAATACCAAGTCCAAACAAGGGTTTAGCCCTTGCAACATGTGCTCCAGGTCTCCCTCACGAGGGCTGCGTCGCCTGCCCACGATCACGACCGTGAGATCTGATCTCCCGGCACCTCAGAGAGAAAACGCTCAGCACAGCTCTCTTGAGGGCCGGACGTCGGATGTGATCGTCGTTGCTTCCTCTTGAACCCTAAGTTGGAGCACAAGGAGCTGCAGAGGAGCTTAAAACTCCCGCGGCTTTTAGCTGGAAAGTGTCTGAATCCCAATGTGGCGGCAGTCGAAAGTAATCTTTCCAGGTGTGGTTCTTCCAATGATGGAGAATTTAATGTGAGCTGAGCCTGTTCGCCTGTTGTCGTGACTGATGATCAGCCCGCTTGTGGTCGCCGTGGGTGCAGAAGCACATCCCCCATAGAGCCAGAAAAGACGGTGAGGGCGAACTTACTTGAAAGTGGCGCACGTATTATCCGGTATCGGAGCGAGCATCTTGTTGGTGGACCCCTCGTTTCGACCTGCGACTTGCAGCAACAGACATCCTCACCGAGAGCTTCTTCGTTGGCAAGTGTAGATTCCATATCACTCCAAATGCAATAAGGGCGACAAAATGCGAACGTGCACTTGTGATCAGCGGCTGCTACTGGATTGTACGGATGGGCTGTCTACTCTAAGAAGACCGCTTGATGCACATGGCTTGCGGTGCATGCCGTCAAACAAGACCTAAAACAAAAACTCTCCCTTATTGCCCTGGTACGATTGGTTGGTTCTCGTGACATCCCGAGGTGCAACGCAAACTGGAAGGAATGCTAGCACGAACGTTGCAGTTCTGGTCAGTGATTTGCGCCGGTGCGCCAGGGTCTTGGAACTTGGGTAACGGACACTCTTGTTACTGCTGCACTCTCGGGCTAGAGCCACAGGTGCAGACAGGAACAAGGCAGCCGAGGTGCTGTACAAACATGTCACCGGGCCACGTGTTTGACAAAATTAGTGCCGCAGGAGAGAGATGGTCGTTTCAATCCTCCTCGTCTGCAACAGCCCCAACAGCAGCCATTGCCAGAACAGGACCCTCGCAAAACCATCCTCCTCTCGCGGGACACCGGACCCTGGTACTGCGACGGTGTGCACTCGTCTGGTGCACAGAAGACTGTCATCCGAATCAGGAAGAGGTCACTCACCTCTCCAGTCCTGTCTCACCCCTCAGGCCGAGCCTCGTCACCCGAGCACACCTTACTCCTAAGCTCCTGGAACATCTCTAGAGTTCATTATTCTAGTAATGTATAATAGGAACTGATGAGCGCTCCGTGTTAGCCCCGGCCCAGGCTGCACCGCATCTCTCGAGACTCACTTCTCCACCGCCCATTCTTTCTCCTGTTGATGCCCTGGCATGTACTGAAGACATCTCTAGGAGGCTGCGCTTGCAAGCAAAGCACGGCCCCACAGCTCACAACACATCACCGTCTCGCTTCTGGCCTGTGTGCAAAATGATGTTCTTCGAAAAGGCAAGCTCATCTTACTTCGGCTAGATCCTTCGGCAGCTCCGCTGATGCTCGATTCAGCATGATTCAACCATAGAGTTTTGGAGAACCAACAGGTCAATGCTTCCAGACTGGCCAAACGTATTGAAGCCTGCTAGCTATGGACGTCGGCAGTTTTAGATTTGTGTTACATGATCATGAACCACAAGTCAAGCGCCCTTTAGAGGTTGCTCCTGCATCGATGCTTCATGCATTTTCTGGTAAGAGACCATCCTGGGCGCGAGGCAGTACGTTTTGGACTGTGAAGCAGGGAAGTCCAGGCGCTAGCCGTCAGCATGCGACTGTCTACGCGCTGAGTCTGATTACAGAATTCTGGGCGTGTGTTACGTCTCTGCACACACGAGAGCATAAGTTGTGTCTCGAAGATTGAAGAGCACGTATGCTTGGCTGCACACGATTTGGAAACCGGCATGGTTGGGGCCAAGATCTGCATGACAAGGTTTTGGATTTTGTTCTAGCGGGTGTCGTTTCAATCTCCGGGGTATTACGTGCGAAGGAGCAGGACTTCCTGTCCCAGGTGCTCATCATCGGTGAGAAGACACTTGTCCAGCATACTGCAGATTGCAGCCTGGGTCGCAAAGATCAAGGCATCGAAGTTCAACAACCCAGTTGTCCCAGCCTCGTCCAGGTGCCGACCAATAAAGACGAGCTCCTGACGACGGTCACACCACTCATCATCCCAGTCCTGGCAAGGCAAAGCGGACAGCGAATCATTGAGATATGGACTTCGCCTGAAGACTGGCCACGTTTTGAGGACAAGAAGTCCTCGCGACGAGCCCTGTCGTACTCCCCAGCAGCCATCTTCTGCATGAGCTTGAGCTGTGCAGTGGCGAAGCATATGAATTGAGATGAAATCACTCATCGCAATCAGTACATAGCCAGGCCGGTGAGGCTGCGTTACCACCTAGTGTGCTTGTGCATCTAGGAATCTAGGTGTGAGCCGCACATGCCCAAGCGCAGCGGGACTGGGGGGTCGCCTGATGTTGTGACATCGCGCCCCACCAAAGTCCATTGTAGGTAAGCTGCATGTCCTTGCCAGCCTCTGCACACTGCACGAAAACGATGCATGGTACGGCTGAAAACATGGGCCTAACACTGGCCGCATAAGTTTGCGAGCCTAGCTGGCGAACTGCGTGCTCGTGCGGATGTGCAATTGAACCCATAAACTACAGGAGGCCAATGTAGGATCACTCCTGTAAGCCCAAACGCACACGACAACAGAATCGCCAATGCTTCACTGACACAAAGAGGTCGTGTTGTCCGAGGAAGAAGGTTCTGGGGCGTTTCGAACGTCTGCAATGGGACACCCGTGAAACTGCAAAAAGGACCATAGGGACTCAGGACTCAGAACAACCCTTGCAGGCAAGTGGCCTGGCTCCAATAGACTCGGGTAGACGGCTGGGTTTCCAACCAGCAGAAGCCCTTCGAGCGGATGACTTTGCCCCTTAGGCGTTGCAGTGTTGGCACTTTTCATCACATGAGGCTTCGGAATGCCAGAACCAGAGGTTCAGAAGCTTCAGATTAGAGGACCTGGAAGGATGTGTATTTGGGGATTGTGCATGCTCCAGCCGGCCCAAGGGCCCAATCAATTGCGCAACACTCAAGCCAACAACAGCGCCACCATGGACAGCCTCAGTGCGCTTCTTGCACAGCCAAGGCACAAAGGGTGACCAGGATTGGTTTCTGCATCATCAAGCATCAGCTTGAGGTCGTTGTGTTTTGGAATCGGCCACTTTTGCAGGGCCTCAGTTCTCTCAACATAGCGAGCACCTTGCCGTTCCTCGCCTCTGCTGCGAGGACCCACCTCCGTGAAGCGCTGTTCGCTGAGAGGCCGCCGTGCTCTGTAGGTGAAGGAAGTAATCCCAAACCGATCCTGCGTCTCTCTCTGCGCGCATAACAATGATAAAAACAACTTTAATGAGCAAACTACAAATGAAACAGGAACATAAGAAGAATAAACGTTGCAATACATAATCACAAATGCATGTTTATCAATCAAGTAATAGTAGCAACCATAAAAATGTTAACAGTAGTACCAACAACAACAACAACAACAACAACAACAACAACAACAACAACAACAACAACAATAATATTGAGTATGAGTAATAACAGAAATCATCATAACAATAGCAACAACACTAGTAGTTATAGCATCGTAGCATGAGCTAGTGAGAACAAGAGCAGTACTGGTACTGTTAATTATAGCACGAAGAAGAATCATGATCCTAATGGTGGACAATAACGACAGTAACAATTCGACTGTTCGTCCCTCCTTGTTGGCACTCGCACTCGAATCGACGTTTCAACTGTTTAGTGACAGTCCATGTACCTCCATGCTGCTTGCGTATTCCCGGGTGCGGAACAGATTTTTGCTGCTGAGATCACCTCATCCTCCTGGTAGGTGGCTGTGTGCATTAGTGATCGGCGCTTGAGAACTCCTTTCCTTCCTCTCCCTTTTCTTCTTCTGCAGTCCTTCCGCTACCCACCCAACCTTGATTGTTGGGCCGCTGCCGAGCCTCCTACGGGTCCTAGGGCCTCACGCCACTCGCTCTGTCCTGTTGCTCTTGCTGTCTGCTCCCGACAAGCCTCAGAACATCAAGCACTTTGCACGACGGTCGCCTCGGCGGTCGTTGTGCTGTGACTATGGGAGTGGCCGTGATCATGACCTTGGACGAAGCCAGCTGCCATGCACAAGTTCCGAACTGGCATGGCAGTGGGTTTCGCTAGAGGCTGTCATGCTGCACAACCACTGCAAGACACAGTACTTTCCCGCGTTCGGATGCGTCCTTTCGTTCCTTTGCGCAATTCCCTGAAGGCACCGGTTTCTCCAGCTGGGGCCAGGGCCGTGGCTGGAGTCCGTGCAATCCGGATCGCCTGAGCAGTCAACAGAGTTTGAAGACGTTGCACAACGGGAGCAAACGGTTCAACCAGGCGATACTGTAAGATCTACCAAGCCGAGCAGCTGCAGTCATCCGCATGGCTGTGGCTGTGGCCATGACTGGCATCGCTGCACCCTGGCTCGCTGCAGCTGCTAGCGTGGCTGTGGGCGTGGCCGTGCTCCTCCAGAACCGAAAGTTGTTTATTCAGGCCATCAAAACGGGTCAGCGGGCCGAAGGGTGGAAGCTGCCCTAACAAAAGCACGCGCCCATTCCCAAGCTACTCTTGCAGCCCGACACGTGACAGCTCCAATCCCCGAGAACTGAATGGATTTCACGCTCCTCTTCGTGGCCATGCTCCGCATGGCAGTCGTCATGGTGGCCTGCGGGATGGAGCGTGGGGTCTGAGAAGATCGACGTTGAAAGCTCATATCATTTCTCGACAATCGGATGGAGACCGGGACTCAAGAGGATCGGGCCGAGCTGGCCGATCGGCTTCTTACCTGGTCGTCAACATGTGTAGCCTCACCATCGAATCCAGAATCGGGTCTGGACCAACGGAGTCCAGAGCGAATCGGGGATAGGTCCGCAGGGACGGAGCGACAACCAGGGTCGAGGGAGCGAGAGAGATGGAGAGAATCCTGTCCAGCTTCCTTGCTGCAGGATGTGGGACGGCTTGAATAACAGCACGCCACATATTATAACATATATATATATATATATGTATATATATATATATATATATATGTATATATATATATATATATATATATATATACATATGTATCTGTGTGTGGTGATGTGTGTCTGCGTCTAAGTGTGTGTATATATATGTACATGTATATGTATATGTATATGTGTATGTATGTGTATATGTATGTGTATGTGCATGTACGTATATATGTATATGCATATGTATATGTATGTGTGCATGTATGTATGCATGTATGTATGCATGTACATGTATGTATGTATGCATGCATGTATGTACACATGTATATATATATACAGATATATGACCGAGTTAGCTAAAGAGCTCATTATGCAATTAAGTCATTCATTCATTCCTGCATGCATGCATTCATTTGTTCATTCATTACTTGGCATCGGCTAATGTGTTTGTGAGGTATATATGTCCATATACATATACATATACATATACGTACAAACACACATACACCGTACATACGTACCTACATACATACATACATACATACACATAGAGATACACGTGCGCAGAAGCCTTCGTGGCCGTGCTCTTCGTGAGCATGCTCGTGATGATCATGTCTGGCTTCCTCAGGCCCGTCGGCCATGCAACAAGATCAGCACAGAACGCGATGGCTGGCGAACAGAACACCCCGAGCTTTGATTTGATCACGGTCGAGGCCCAGAGTCTGAGTGATCTTCAGCAAGCACATCCTGGAGCGCGACTTTGCCAAAGGTGGTCTCGATGATTCTGGCCTCCCAGGCTCAAGTAACCTAGAGAGAGGTATTGAAAGGCAAACTAGATCCCTGCCTTTTTGTTAATGGCCTTCACTACCTCGCGCGTTAAATCGAGTTGCTCCTGGCGGCTTCGCAAGACATGCCGAACACCCAAGCCTACAGCAGCAGTCACGCTGCCCCTGGTGCCATTGATGTCGCTCGCGACATGGCGACAGTGGACTCGGCTTTGCCAGGTCCTTTGTCGCCAGATCCGTCTTGTTCAGGATGACGATGTCAGCAGCCTCGCAAGCTAATCTCGCGAACTGGCACTGGTTGTGACAACAAGCTTTCCTGAATTCCTCCCATGACCGTGTGCTACAACTGGCGTGCTATCCATGCTTGGATGGCGCATCAGTGGGCCAGGGGTCCTGCCGTCTGTACTGAAACAAAGGTCACCCAGCGCCTAAGCAAATCCTATTAATTATACTCCCAACCTGCGCATCAAGAAGCAAGAACATAAACAAAACGCTACAAATGTTGATGGCGTCGGAGATCAAAGAGACTCGAAGCGCACCAAGAGCATGCAAAAAAACTGTCCAAGAGCATCCCAAACGAAGTCCAACAACTCCGTGCCGCAGCGCACTAAAAGAACGAAGTGTAAAGGATTGAACCTTCAAGCTGAATCGTTAACGTGCGAGTACAGGTGGCGTGGAGAGCGTCGCCTTGTTGAGCAAGTTGCTATTTTTGTCATGCTATACAAGTTTGTCCATGCGCTGACCAAGATCCAGCAGCGCAGGAAATGTGAAGCAAAACCTCCGGGACTCCGGACCTCTGTCTGCTCAACTAACAGCTCGACCACTGCCAGCTCGGCCATCTCCTTGTTGCAAGGCTGAGTTCGAGCAAGATCGAACAAGCGTCGCACGGCCACCGCTCATCCGGGATCTGCAGAGCCGAGCTTCTCCCACATCGCCATCCATCAAATCTTCTCTCTCATACAACCGCGAGTACTCCATGTACTCCTGCCGTCAATATTCAATCGTCATCATGCATCTTTAAGCCTAGACGTCATGAGAGGAAAGGCTTTGCCGAACAAGCATACATGAGTTTGGTAGTGAGTCCTATTCCTACATGCTGTCAGGCATGGTCATGCTGCCTCGCAGAAAGTTGAGGCATCAAGCACTGTGACAACTTGGCCCAACTCCACGCCATTCACCACATAGTACCTGCGCCGGCCGTCTCCCGGAGAAAAGTCTTACATGAACCGATCGAATCCGTCACTGCCACTCACCAACTTGGGTGGTTGTCAATATTAGGGGCCCATCTTGGGTCCTTATTATAATACGGCACCCAATGTTTAGGCTACCCGAAAACGGGACCATAATTTTGGCAACCACCAACTTAGAGGAGTCACCCAGCTTCCCGAGCAGAGTCGAAGTTCTCACGAACGCGCTCCGGCTCTGCGACCCCACTCCTCATGGGGCATCAATCGACTTATGTAATGCCTGCCATGTGTGTATGTCACTGTACTTAAAGGATCATGGGACTTTTTTTCCCTCCTACCTAGCAAGGACGAAGCCCGCATTGCAGGGAGTAACTAGGGTTATTATTGGGGTAACTGTACTTATACTTACTTATGACCCCAATGTATGCATGATTGTGCATGTGTGTATGTACATGTGCGTTGGCATGTATGTAAATGTGCAGATATGTGTGTCTGAAGGTATGAGACACATTCGTCTCGGCCCCAAAGAGATCAGAGGAGGCTCCCTCTTTGCTCCAACAATCCCGGCTCCATGACCCACCCCCCACTTGACCACCCATCCACCCATTCACCTCCCCCCTACCAGAGATTCTGATGCAAAAAGTGGCGTGGTAGGGTTCCGGAGGGCGTTCCGGAGACTACCCTTCAGCTGCGGCATGCTGCGACCGGGCCGTGGCGGAAGACGGGAAGCATTTACGACAAGGATGCAAGATGCGTGGTGCAAAAATGGCTCTATAATGTATGTATGTGTATTACGCATACATGGCTACGTAGCCTGCTCGATGTCACGCAGGGTAACCCGGATCGGTGCAGCACCGAAAACAAAACTGTAGTTTAGAGTCACTAGTCCAAGCCATCGATTCAAACCTGCAAGATGCTGCATCCCAGGAGCAGCTCCACAACAATCTGCTTGAAGGGTCTTTCCTGCGTTCGGCACAGACAGGGAGTTTCACCGGAGAACTGCGACAGGTCTTCTACGCAAGTCATCTCTGGCTCGACGACTCGACGGTCCCCGCCGGAGAGTTCGATCAAATCAGAGATGTCTACCAGCAGCTCATCGCCCAATGAGCAGCAGGCACAGCCGTTCCTTCGCTCGCATCCTACACGCTTGAGCTCCTGCACTGCTGGGCTCCAAGGCTGCTCCGCAGAACAAGGCATATCTATACACTATAGGGTATGTATGTATATTCTAGTATATACAGTACATATAGTATATACAGTATACATATATATATATATATATACATATATAGTATATATATAGTATATATATATATAGAGAGAGAGAGAGAGTATATGTAGTATATGTATAATATATGTATAGTATATATATATATATATATATATATATACACTATATATATATATATATAGCATTATAGCATGTGTAGCGTAGCATATCTTATTCCAAACTCTGATCGAAGAGCGCCAGCTGGATAGCATTCACCTCCCCCTCTGAGTTGTAGGACTGCTGCTGCACCTTAGCAAGAGACAAAGACATCGAGGACCTCAGCTCGAGACTTGCTGGGCCCAGGACGAGCTTCGAGTCGATGTTGACGGAAGCAACATCGTTTACAACGATGCCTCACGGCTGAACGGCAGTAGGCCACCACCCCGTACGGTTTAATGCGTGTGAAATTCGGCTCTCATGACAGCTCGCTGCAGTCACTGCAGATGGGCTCATGCTGACGAAGTGCCAATGCGATCGGTTGTGTTCTCCAGCCAGTGCCGCAGCAAGGTGGTTTTCCCCGTGCCCAAAAAGCCGCTCAGCAGAATCACAGGTACCTCGGTAATTTCACTCTCCTAGACTAAGAGCAGCCCTTGCGTATTTTGCGTCTGAGTTTATATACACATTCTCAGTTGACTCCATGATCACAACACCCGCGCAACCTGCTACAGGGAGGAAGTGCTGTCGGATTCACCGGAAGGCTGAATCAAGGCCTTAAGAGGTCTTAACAGATCCCCGACAGGAGGTGCCTCTTCGCGCCCTCGCGATTGCCAAGGCTGAGTTCAATGGGATCCCTGGCTGCACGTGCGCTCTGCAAGACGGGCCGGAATCTGCTGTCACGGACACCGACCCCACATCCTGCCCTTCCTATCTCCCGAAGCCTCCGCGAGTTCAAGTCGTCTTTGTGAGTAGAAAAAAAGACAAACCATAACAAGTACTGATGCTAAGAAGAAAAACAGCATTATAGTACTTATTTCATTCTATTTCTGGGCTGGAGTGTCACTCCTGCTCTGAGTCGCAGCTGAGGAGCGCGTTCCGGTGCTGCAATCTCGGTCGCAGTAGCTGGCCGTGCAAGTGACACCTGGCACCTTCGAAAGGTTTCATTTCGAAAGATGACGTGCTTTGTTGTTCTTACCTCCCAGTCTCACCGTATATCAGCCAGACAAGTGTTCGGCGTGAATGTGACGCTCGCCTGGCCGAGGACATCTACTGTACCGATTCCATGAATGAGAGATACTGCCAAATTCGCCTCGTTCCTGGCCGAAGCGGTCAGAGGTTCCTATACGGATTCCCTCTATTCACCACCTCCTAATCCCCTCCCCACTGACCCCCACTTCGAAAAGGGGGCCACTGACCCCCACACCCGCCCCCCTCCTCTCTGTGAACCCATGACTTTGCCACCAGATCCCTTCCCCCGCCACCGCTCCCCCTCCGCCGCGAAGAGCACAACTCCAGGTTCTAGGGCGAGGGCTTTGAGTCAAAGATACTGAAACTGACAAAAGTACAGCACTTCTATGCAGAACACTTGCGCAAAAGCAACCCCCTGTAGCCTGCAAGATCTCGGCTCAAGAATTCTCTTCGGCAAAGCAAGTCATGCAACTCTTCACGGGGTAGCGATGCAGGCTCAGGATGCTTAACTTAGACCCGCCTTAGACAACACCTCCAACCAATTCGGCACATACGGGTGCAGCCAGGCCAAGGCGGGCGACGCGAAGCGTTTCAATTATGAGAGGTGCGATCTGATGCTTACACATGAGATTCCACTCCGGCATGATCTACATTCGGCCTGTGTCTTTGACATTACTCTACGAGTTTGTGGCGGGATCAAGCATTACTCATTACTATGTGGAGTGAACTTGCTTTTGATGTTCTGGAGTCATTCAAAGATCCTCCCGAGTGATCCAGAGCTTTACTCACTCCTGCTAAGCAGGCCAGTATGTCTCACAACATGTCGTGCCGCACATCGCCGATGCTTCGACTCGCCTCTTCCATCTGCGCCGACTCTGCCGAATGGCCGAGCAGCCGGCAGCAAGGAAGGCCGTCGCCGTTGCAGCAGCGAGAGCTCCTCGGAGGTGCTACTCAATAATGTAGGAACCTGATTCAGAAACCTTGGGCCTTTATTGGGGTTCCTTACATGAATCCTACTATTTGAAGTTATAGGCCCAGGGTTTCTAATCAGGTTCCTACATTAGGAATCCAAGAGATCCAACACCTGTCAAGAAAGCCACGCAATGCCCTGCCTCGACCTTGGGCAGGAGGCGTGGCGAGGCATCTGCGTGACAACTGCCAGGGCAACAAACGGAAGCATGATAGTCACTTGCTGTTCTGGAGCACTCGATATTGCCAAATGCTTCGTGCTTTCGTTTGGTCTATGTTGTCGTTAGTCTCATCACTATCTTTTGCGTGCGTGCTTTCTTCGACTCAAAACGAAGGGCTGTAAGTGTTGAAGGGTTCTTTAGGGCTTAGAAGCTTAGCCCTGAACACCTGCAGATCCCTGGGAAACTCAGTCTACAGGACAAAATGACGGCAAAAAAGATTTCAAGTTGCTTGCGAGACAAAGCTGGTTATCATCGGTTTGAACACAAGCTGTAGAAAAGCTGCCCGAAAGGCAAACCCTACTATGCACCAGGTCCAGGTAAAAGCCAAAAACAGGCTACGAAAGAAAGGAAATATGTATATGTCTACATATGCACAGGCTGAAGCGCACACATGCGAAGACAAGCGGGGCACCTACTTGGCTAGAAAAATAACATAGGGTCAGCTTTTTCTGGGCTTAAGCACCCCAGAGCGAGGACGGAGGAGGGGAGTCCTGGGGTTCCGCTCGGCTTTTCTTACCATGTTCCAGCTGTTATTTAGCCTTCTTGGTTTCTCCTCCTCTTTTCAATCGCTCTTCCCTTTAACTGTCAGGTAACGAACCTTCCAAGAGCAGATTCTGTCGTGCACTCGTCCAGTCGACGGCTTCGGGAAAAACTGCGGTGCAAAAACACCCTAACACGGCACAGTTGGTGCAGGATTTCCTGTCAGACACGATTGCGACAGGCACGCAAGCCAGTGTCTCGCAACCCACAAAACAACCCTGCCTGCGTACCACGACCAGCGGCCTGCCTTTGAACAGGCCGAAGTATGCGGAAGCCTCCAGCTTCAATGGCATGACTAGCATACGGAGCGCCTGCGAATGTGCATTGCCGAGCTAAGCTTCGCCGACAAAACCGTGGAAAGCTGGCCAGTGCTTGCTTTGCATGCTGTGCCTGCCACTTCCATCGGGCTGGCAGTCAGCACCAAGGCGTGCATATTCTACCGGCACAAAACTGCACCCCCTCGGACTGAAACGCTGCAGAAAGATTCACACAGCATTCACATCGCTGCCGCGCTGCAGTCTCGTACTTACAGTGTGATTCACGACGTACTGTAGTGACGACCCATCGCCGGCGCTCCATTCGATGCGAATCTTTTTTGTTGCTCTCGATGCCGTTTGCGACGAAGCGCATTCTGCGCAGTCTAGATGCAAGGGACCTCGAAGCCGAGAAAACACCATAGTTCACGATTTAGCTGGCCTGCATGCATGTGCGCACAGCCCAAGATGCGATGGCACCAGGCAACAACAAGACTTCTGCGTCCTGAGAAGCGGCTGGCAGCTGAGCTGCATGCAGGCCATTTGCGGCTGAATGCCAACTGCAGGCCCCGCAACCACGGCGACATTAAATCAGAAATTGGTGAAGGAGACCCTGTCATGAAATGGCTTCTTGAAGAAGTCGGGTTTCCAGTCCTCTGGGAGAGGTGAGAGAACCGCGCTGCCGGCTTTTGGTACCGCCTCATTTGGGCACTGGGCATCTTCTGCCCCAGGTTCTAACCTTCTTTCACGGAGATACTTGTAAGCTATCATGGCAGCGCAGACCTTAAGTGCTTCGGATCACGGCACACGACCGAGCTGAGAATCCGGACTTGCATCCTGGTTTGCAGTGCAGCCACACAGGCTGCCGAAGCAAGTCGAGATTAAAGGTTTGCAACCACGGCGCTGTACACTGTACAAGAGCCTCGTCGGCCACGTCGCGCACAGTGGTTTAAGTCACCTTCAAAGTGTGGAGTTTGGCTGTACCACATGATGCACATAGAAGGCAGCCACGGGGATCATGCCGTAGCAAGCAATATGCAACTACTCCCCATCACAAAGCATTAGGCGTGCTGAGAAGCATGAAGTCGCATAGACATGCTATGCCGGCCCCGAGCATACGGCACAAGACTGGAACTTCTCTCAAGTGCCACTGTTTATCCAAGTGCTTCTTCCCGCATTTGTCTTCCTGGCAGCTATGGCTTTCCCCAAGCCATCGCCCTTAAACTTCAGCTTTCTCACAGATCTAGTCTTTAGTGAATCTAGTGTGGACCCCTGCATGCGTTCCCAGTCAGTCATGGTCAACTACCACTAAGTACCAATGGTCAGCCGAGCTGCTGGATCGCGCACAAAGCCAGGGCACCCAGACCTGGTAACCGACAGGGCTCTCGCCAAATATCGAAGGCTATTGCTAGTCGATCACAACAACTACTAGTACCACTAGCCGATCATCACATCTCTGGGCAAAGACAGCCAGATTCTAGCTCAACCGCCGAATCTCGCGATCCACGCTGGGCGAGGAGTCTGGGTTGTGGGGTCGGGCGCGGGAGGCGAGTCCTCTCCGTGAGAGCTTGCTGCGGCATGTTGGAATCTACACGTGCGCCTCGGCCAATAAGCAGAGTAATTACCCATGTGCCAAGATGCTTGATATGCAGAACTGCCATCAGCTCCGAGCTAATGACACCACTCAGGTAGAAACTTTGATTAGCCACGACACCTTCCGCCACCGTAGCTGCCTCTGCAGCTACAGCAGCATCGGCCGCCACTGCTGCTTCGGCTGCTGTCGCCCCCTGATGTCACGTACCATGGCTTCTCAACTCCACTACATTCACACACATTCACACACTACCACTGCATCCTGCAGTGGCAAGTCTCAACCCCTGGAGCCGTCAAGTGTGTGCAGACCGTCCTCGGCAGCAGCCGCGCCCCCTGCCGCCTAAGAATGCCATGCAGAAACACCATTCCAAAGTGAGCAAGTCTTGCAGCAAACGCAACAAGCCCGGTGCTGCCCTCGAACTCACTGAGCTCACCACGGTATCAGCGGCAACTGCACCTTCTGCACCCATTGCTCCATCTGCCGCCACACCTGCCTAGCAAAAGACAGGGCACACCGGAGCATGGGTAGCATGTAGAACGTCCATGGTAAAATCCAGGCTTGGGGCGGCTTCGGGGTAGACTTGACCGTTCTGCAGATATTCACCGCTGCTCGGAGAATAGCAAGTCCCTTCCATCTCCTGGAGCAATAGGCTACAAAGTGCGATCCGTCTGCCTCCATTCTCGGACAACTCATCAGCAAAGCTGGCAGAAGGACCCTAAGGTCATAAAGACTCCACCCGACAGAAGTAAGTACACTTGAAGCTGTGGTCATGATGTCTAGGCCGGCGATGGGAGATGACTTCACCATACTTCACGGGTCATCCCGTGCAAGCACTTCGTGCCATGCTCCGAAGCAACGGCGGGAGGCACCTCCAAAGCTGCTCCACCTGCAAGTGTACCTGAAGCCAGAAACTTGCCGACGTTCTGATGTCGTGTCCAAACATGAGAGCATTCTGGCTGATGCTGGCTGACGGTGGTAGCATGATCAAGATGTAGATGGATCAAGATGTAGATGGGGACTCGGGCTCTGTTTCTAGGAAGGAAAAGCTTATGTCCTCAGTGGATGAGATCGTTTCGCTGCAGTTGGCTCGGCGCAACCTTCCAGGCTTCCCTGGCCCGGCCTTCGGCAGCTACAGTAGCTTCGGTAAACCCGGCAGCAGTGGCCCCGCCAATCGCTGCCGTTGCAGCCTGGGCGCGGGGGGCGGGGGGGAGGATACCCCCAATGTGCTAAGCCTTCCAATTCCAGTCTTTCTTGTGCTGGCTGCTTTGGATTGGATAGCACAGGGCTTAGACAGCGGCCAACGCAAGGTGTCAGCAAAGACTCTGTCGCACATCTGCTGCATTCTGCAGCTACTCTATGCTGGCATTCAGCAGATCATGGGTCACATGGGGGATGACGGCCTTGCACCTTCTGCTATTGAGCTCGACAAGGCTCCGTCACATCGATGCATCCGGACAGCGCGAACGCAACCGCACTCATAAAGGCCTAAAGGCGGAAGAGGGGCATTTGTGGATTGACTTCTTCTGTGGCAGTTACAAGGGACGCAAGGTGTTCAGTAGAACGACTGCAACGTCAACATCGAGATTTTGCATACCTTGTCACGCTGGGGATTGAAACGTACACGTCTTTCGGAAGCAAAACGTGGAAGCAAAGGCAAGCGAGCAGGAGATGCAACTAATGCAACTTTCTGCTGGCAGCTGCTTCTGCTAAAGCTTGTTTCAACGCCAAGTGCATCCCAGCATGGCTGAAGAATCAGTCTGTGCTTTACCTCACGGCACTGCTATCATGCAAAATCAGCATTACTACACCAAACCTGGTTCTGCACCTGCCCCGTGCAAAAGCTCTTCCGCTTGAACTGCAGGGTACGTAGCATGCATTTGCGGTGCGAGACATCCTGCCCAGTGGCTGACATGATGCAGGTGCCCAGCGAAAGCATGCCCGACAGGATGATGCTGCGGGAACATGGGCAACACCTCCGGTCGCAACATCGGGTTCAAACAGTGTAGAAACCTTTAAAAACCCAGCTGGCCGCGGGGGCCTTGTACCGGAGACCTAAACTGAACTTGATTATCCTCAGCCGATGATGTCATGTTAAAACGGTCAACTCCGGAAGAGCCCGAGGATCACCTTGTACACTCCGTTCTAGTCTCGAAGATCTGAACATATGCCACGGCACAGCAACAACAGCGCCAGGAAGCTGGCACCATACCACAGCTTCTGTTCCAGAGCCATCTCTCCAAATATCCCTGCAGGTGCCCACTGCGGGAAAAAAATCGTCGTTGCGCACGGCAAGTCGAAAGAACCACAGAGAGAGAGGGCCATTTCACACGAAGGGTCTCCAGCCTGTGGCTCGCACAAGCCTCGACAAGCTGGGACGCCTGGGCCTAGACTCACATGTTGTGCCTCCTTCTGCGCTTTCTCCTTTGGCTGCCATCGTCGGTAGACCGAATTCGTGGTAGGTGAAGGCCCACCACCCGAGTAACAGCAGCAACCAAGCAAGGACCTCAACCACTTCAGAAACATGCTGGAATCGAAGCTGCTGCTGGGAGCGGTGGAACACATCTGCGCGTGAGTACGAGCGTCGGTGCTATGACCGGGTCGACACCGCCAACTACATGCCGAATTCTTTTATGTGAACACCAAGGATGCATTCTGACACCTATCTTTATTTGTAGCATCGTAGAAGGCAAACAGGACTTACGTCATGCCGCTAGCATCCTCATGAAGTCTCTGTCTTTCCGCAGGTCACAAGAAGCCTCCCTTTCTCTCACACTCTCGAGGTTCGAGGAAAGACCGTTCCTCTCAAAGTTCGAACTTAAGAACAACTCCATCAGGATTACCCTTAGCGGTTGTCAAGACAACTCTGAGCTCAAACGGTCATGTCGGATCAAACCCTACTACTAGTACAACGACGACGACTACTACGACTACTACGACTGCTACGACTGCTAGTACGACGACGCCTACTACTACTACTACTACTACTACTACTACTACTACTACTACTACTACGACTACTACTACGACCACTACTACTCGGTATATTGCCATCTTCTTGTTTGTGCCATTTCATCCTTTCAAGGCTTCTTACTTGCAGCATGTTCTCCAATCCAGCTTGTGGCTGACTTGTGGCTTTTGCCCGCATTGGTGAACCGAATGGCAAATCTGGAAGGTCACGAACAAAAAAACTCTGAGTTTCTAAGTGCCAGTAGAGTTCAGGCAGCTCCACAAAGCTCTCGGAATCTATGGGGCTGCTGTGGGCAAACTTGCACGAAGCATTGCTCTCCAAGGCGTTCTGTCCCATCCGCCTAATCAGGGATATTTACAGACAAGCCGCACTCCGACCGCGTGGGCCTTTTGGCGTGATCCACAAGACCTGTCAAATCGACGCGGCGCCTTTCCGGAAGTGTACCATGCGGTCTCCGACTCAAAGCGTGCCTGCTACCTACGGCAGAAGCACGACTTATTAGCAGGCACAAATGCCGGGAACAGTTACATCTGCCAGCCATGATGCTGCAGGCCGCATCTTTCCACGAAGCCAAGACGACCTGTCATGATGTGTAGAATTTGCCCCGTAGGTGACACGCACGCAAGGCGATGATCGTCTGCATGGTGCGAAAATCAATTCGAAGCAGCGGGTCAAGAATCCAAACTCGCCAAGCGCGCGTGACATACGTGTAGATGAGAGCCACGCTGAGTGAGCAAAGCCAACTTCTTGGCGAAGACAAAAGCTTAGGAATCTCGCGTTTCCTGGGCTTCTCAGCAGCACGGAAGATCTTGGGATGTCTTCAGTCAAGAACTGAGGACCTCATAGGGGTTTATCCAGTCAGCTGACAGAAAAAGGGAAGCGGGACTGGCCGTTTCCTGCCCAAGGTACACAACCGACCAGGTAGTAGGTATTTCGATGCCGGCCATACCTAGTTCATGGTTGGGATCCGAAAACAATACACAGGTTTATTCCTTATTGGGTTTAAGTAACCCATAAAAATGTAAAATGTCCCCCAACTAGGACAAAGATACAGTGTCCTCCGATCATGACACCGCTGGTGCCATTGAACAGCGTGCAGCTCACGGCAATCCTTGGCGGTTCTGCGCAAACATCTGGGAATCTACGAACTATAGCGGTTTGACTTCGCCCGGGTAGTGTTCTGCATTTTCTGTGCGCTTTGCAATCGATTGCATGCAGGCATTACCATTTGCATCTCCCCCGGCTGGCACTTCAGCCAAGCCTTGTCGGGCAGTCTCTTCGCTTCACTTCACTTCGAGGCGTAGGGCGTAGTGGACTGGTCAGGTCGCCCGAGCCGAAGGGCTTCCTGTTTGAGGGCCTTTTGAAGGGACGCGAAACGACAGCCAGATCCCAGGAAAAAGGAGCCCGTTAGGCAGGTCGCAAAAATCGTAGAAAGATACAGTTGCAAGGTATAGCTTCAAGGTACGGTGCAACGTTTTTTTTTCCCTCCTACCTAGCAAGGACAAAGCCCGCAATGCAGGGTAACGTCGAAGCAACATTTGAAAAGGCTGTGTGCAACGTTTGTTGCCCCGGGTTTGACAGCACTGGTGCCTCAGTGAATCGGGAGTCAACACCCGATAAAAAATGCGGCGACAGTCTCTCGTTCCCTCCGTTGTTCAGTTTTGCTGTTTGAAGCCACAGGTTTTGTGCTATCCTCTGAGTGAACCTGGACCTGTGCTCCGAACTCTAGAGATGTTGCCTTGCTTTTCGGCCCTGCTGGGTCCTTGTGACTGCGACAGAAACATGTCAACGACTTTGCCACGAAGCTCGTGCGGTCCTTCCATAAGGATGCACCGAAACTTTTGCAGCCCGTTTTTTCTGGGCATGTGCAAGACTCGCTTTTCCCCAGCAAACGGGGCAGAGGTTCCCTTCGTTCCCGCAATCGGTTGCACTGTCTGGAATGGCTGGAATCTAAGAAACATGTTCTGCCTTACTGTCAGTGTGCTCCATCGGAGGCCACGAGTTACGAGCTTGAGACTTCAACCGATCTGAAAAGTTCCACTGCGCACGGCTTCTAGGGCGAAGCTAGTCGGGTGGGCAAGACCCCTCTCCGCCGGTTGAAGCACTAAGTCGTTCAGGTTTCAGTTTGGTCTACGCACTGATTTCCTTTGCCGCCAACGCCATGCGAAATGCTCCTCTGCCAAAAGGTATAGTGCGAAATCCACAAAACACGTCCTCTGCTTGAGGGAAGTAGGAAATGCATCAAACCACCAAGCCAGCTACCACACGTCGACCATCGTCGACCTGTAAAAGCTGGTTAAGTCTGCTACCTCTACAATCTAAACATGGGGAAACTGGACTTCAAAAGAACCGATTCGGGACTATCCGCCACTCTATCCCACTCGCGTCCAATGGTCGCTTTGCTCGTCATGATTGTGCTTGCTGTTCTACTACCTCCGGTCCAAGGGATTATGTACTCCTACTCCTGACTCTCCTTCTTCTTTTTGGCAGGATGTTCTGTCTCTTCTCCCCGCTTGTTCTCACTCTCCAGCAAATTACTTGAGGATTCCATTCCCTGTAAGCCGCTGATACGAGCTTGCGCCATCCCAGCTTGCCGTCGGCTTCAGGCAGGGCTGCGTGTACAAGTTGCACCACCTGTGCATGTGTTCGTTCTTCCATACAGTGTCGGCAACTACACACTAGGGCATGTTGTGCTCTTAAGATCTTGAGAATCCCCCAGGCGGACCTGGTGTCGTTGAACCAGTCCACGGCCTGGCAGTCCGGATACCTGAGCAGCATCCGAAGCTGAAGCAGGGCAGCCGTTCTGTCAAGCTAAATTCTTGCTCCCGACGCTACGAGGTGAAGTTGCCAGGGGCATGTTCGAAAAGTACAGGATGCTTGGCATATCTCCACTACTATCTCTACATGCACGGCCCAGCCACGAACTGCAAAGATCCTCGCAAGCTGCGAGGCCACCTTCCATTGGAGCTTCCTGACGAAAGGCGTCAGCGCTTCTCGGCAGGTCGTCGCAGTTCTCGCAGGCCTCGGGAACTTCTGCAGCTTGGAAGATGTCCCGGCAGAGGCCGCAGCGCTAGGAAAGAACATGCAGCTTCCATCTGCTGCATGCTCGGTTCAAGTACATCTACGATGACGTCCTACCGGCCAGCGCTCTCGTGCACATCTCTGAGTGCGAACAGGCTAGTATGCTGCAAAGTGGCGGCATGCTGACTAATCGGGATCCACATCGGCTTGCTGAGAGGGCCTGCGCATGCACCGGCTCTACTCGTTTCCGAGGTTCGACCGTTCCGGGCGATCAGTAACAGATGTCACGTGACAGGTCCATCTTCCGCACACGAACCGTTTTTTGGCGAATGCAGTTTGCTTTTGCAGGAAAGATCCCTTTCTCGTCCCGATGCAGTTGGCCACCTGATAAGAAAAAGGCGTTGACGACGACAACCAGAACCTGCAGTGTGCAGCGTATCCTGCTGACCAAACCGCATGTTGACAGGAAACGCTGGTGCTTGCTAGGACCTGGAGTGCCTGCACGAAGTTGCATCGACATACTGGTACATCACTCAAGATCTTGAAACTGACCGAGGCACCATGCACTTGCAGCACCACGAGCAGCAAAGCCGTGCGCAGCAAAGCTGCAAGCAGTGGTGACGGGCGCCTGAGCTGAGTTTGGCACATAATATGAAATTACATACATAGTATATAATCGTATATACAGTATACATGTTGATCCAAGCAACGCCGCCTGATGCTCTCCTGCAGACATGAGAGCAGCTCCCCTTGCTGAGGCTTTCTTCGAAGTTTCTCCTCGGTTTTTGTCAGTCCTGGTCCACATCCGGATCTGGCTGGGGTGCTGGCACTGCCTGCAGGTTGAAGCAAGACACACACACGATTATTGTAGTGCTTGGTACGCATTTGCCGTTGGCCTCCTCGTCTGCAAGGGGCGGGCACTGCGTGCTGGCGTGGGCGAATTCCCGGCGGACTGCGGCGCAAGTACACAGTAACCCGTCGCTCATTCTAGCATAGATCAGAAGCCGTGTCCATACAAGCCTGATTTTGGAGCATGACCATGCAATGTGGTCTGGCTTCGCATGCAAGTGTATCGATCTCCGGCAAAGTGGCATCATGAGCTTCCTTGCAGAGGCTACAGTTACCAGCCACCGTCCAAGCCTCGCATCGGGGTGTTGCCGCTAAGCAAAGACCATGCCCTTAGCTTTCTCGGCCACAAGTCGGGAAGCAAACATGAACAACTTAGCAATTCGGGACATCTGCGGGTTGCAGTCTTGGGAAACCAAGGCATCAGCTCCGATTCGTCCGAGGAGGAGTGCAACAGCGGCTGCCTGACATCTGTCGATTTTTGAATGGCCCTGCCTGCACATGCGAATCGAGCGTGAGCTTCGGTGCGCCTAAGGGCTTGATCTGGCGGCAGCTCTGTGGCAACCTCTGGCAGGCTGTGGTCCCGCGCAAGACCTCCCGAGCGAGGGTACGCGCGTCGAACTTTCAGGCAAGCCGTCGTGCGCTCTTGGTGGTTAGGGTTGGCATATGCCCATGAATTTACAGTTCTCCTTGATACCAGCTACTGTACCTGTACGTGTACCTGAAGGCCATGGTGCCGACCTTTGTGCGGATCCATGGAGCCGCAATCCATATCTCCGGGGAGGAAGCTACTGCGTCTTGGATTGGTTTTCAGGAGTCACCCTCTCCTTTGATGGCTTCATGCGTTTTTGTGCAAGTTCCTAACTTCTTATGAAAAAGAGTTTCAAGCTCATGAATGAAAAGTCCTGTATTTGCCTTTGAGCCAGCCATGTCCTGCTGCAGACAGAACTGGTATGCTACAGTAGTAACTAATTACACCGCATGTATGAACGGCCAGCAGGGGCTCTCCCAGAAGCCGGGAAAACATCAACACACCAGAGATGAGGGTAGTGCGACAGCTCTGGGCCCAAGAGAGGCCTTGAGGCAAATCCGTCTCGAGAACCGGAGCCTAGCCCAAATGCAAGAAGTAGATCGACACCGACACCCAGCACACAACAGCATACAACAGCTGTGTGGCTTGCAACCCCCGGCACCCGGTATTAAAAAACGAACTTCCAGAGATCAGAGCTTGGAAATGAACCGTGCGCAAGTGTGATCCCCTTGTGACACACCATACACGCAAGACGCAAGCTACGAGTAAGTCCATGAAGCTGGGCGCGCAAGCTGGGGCTGACGTGCAGAAGTGCAGAAGCAAAGATGCCCAAAACATGTTGCAAAGCATCGCAAAGCTACCTAAGGCCTGGAAGCTCTCGCAACGACCAGCTGGGGTCGCCCCGCGATTTCCAGCAACTTCGCCAGACATTCTAGCGCTTTTTCCGTCGCAAAGCCTATGCCGATTCAGCCTCGATGACAGCCGCCCACACAAAGGGAGGCTGGAGCATGTCGGCGGCCAACTCGCCAGGGTAGGGGTCGTGGAGCCTCGTCTCGGACGGCTTTCAAGCCAGTGCCCGAGCCATGAGGGTAATCCACTACAACGGAGGTCCCATGCCGCACAACTCGATTCCAGTCTGCTGGCTTGCAGACAATAAACTCGTGAAGGCAATGGCGGTTGAAACCGTGTGGAACGTGGTGCTTGAATCTGCTACAGAACACCATCACCTCCTTCATGCAGCAGAGCCGCAAATCGAACCTGATGGAAAACTGCAAGGCCACATACTGACGCACGACGATCGGAATTCACTTGGCCAAGGTGCCCCGCGTCGCAAGCCCGCGCCACGACCACATGCCCATGATCGCCACGTGGGGATGTCCCACGCAGCACACAAAGCTTCCCCACACCTTGCTCGTCCGGTCAAGTATATCGTGCAGATGTGCCGACCTCGACTCCGGCCTCCTACATCTTCGAATTCTGAGTCTGAGAGACCCGCAACCTGCGGCATCCGTCGGAAGTCGTCCATCTTCCTTCGGACAAGAGACGAGATCTCTCCCGACGCCCAGGCCTCTTTACAAACATGAAGCAGTGCATGAACCTGCTCTCTCCTTGACTCTACGTTTCACTATGCCGAGTCCAGTGAAATCTTTCGCCAGGTCATTCGCTGTGTCGCCAGCCAGGTCTGGCAGGCCTTGTCCTAGCTGGGCAGTTGCCGGGCTATCAGCTGGTGGTAGTAGTAGTAGTAGTAGTAGTAGTAGTAGTAGTAGTCGTAGTCGTAGTAGCAGTAGTAGTAGTAGCAGCAGTAGCAGCAGCAGCAGCAGCAGCAGTAGTAGTAGTGTAGGTATTAGTAGGAGTAGTTTTTGGCTCCCACTTGTCGGACTCGCTCGGATTCCGCGCTGCAGGTGACGTGTCGACTTCGTTGTGGCCCAATCAACAGTCCTCACCAACTCCTTTACGGCAACAGATCAACTAAGAAAACTCCACCCAGAAAGAAAGATTACATGACGAGGACTGTTTCTCAGGACTACCGGGGTGGAGCCTCTCGCTCCCCCGTTTTCGCACAAGGGCTCACTACAGATCGGCCTTCGGCCGCACAACTTTCAGCTACTTCAACAAGCGAAACAGCAGCTACAACACGGGAATTCTCGGCAAGGAAAGTGCACTACAGGTTTCACTACAGGCAACTCGCGTTGTGATCGTACTCAATGTATCAATCTCCCGGCCTAGGGGGTCCTAGAACAAGAGATAAAAAGGGGGTAAAGCAGGATGCTACGACCCTAATGCGTACGTTGCCTTGCTGGTAGTAGTAGTAGTAGTAGTAGTAGTAGTAGTAGTAGTAGTAGTAGTAGTAGTAGTAGTAGTAGAAGTAGTAGAAGTAGTAGTAGTAGTAGTAGTAGTAGTAGTAGTAGTAGTAGTAGTAGTAGTAGTAGTAGTAGGGTTGCCCCCCCCGGTGCGACGCCCAAACCTCTTATCTTGGGGACTTGCTGTGGTCGGAAATGCTGTGTTTTACAGCACTTTTTTTCCGCAGTTATCGAAAATGGCAACTGTTCCTGGTTTCGTGTGTATTTTTACCATATTTTCTAACATTGTTCATCAATCTCGCACCCGAAAATGCTGGTATTTACAGCACTTGTCTTTGCGAATTTCATGAGTTTTACTGTTTTTGGGTGTCTCGATATTCGTGCCCAAAACCTAGCGATCAGAATCAAGGTTTTTTGGGCCTCATTTTGATCATGATTTTCATTCAAATCGTTGGTTTGGAGAGCATCCATGTCCAAAACCTAATGACGTCCATGGTCTAGCGCATTTTGGTTTGGAGAGCATCCATGTCCAAAACCTAATGACGTCCATGGTCTAGCGCACTTGGGTTTGGAGAGCATCCATGTCCAAAACCTAATGACGTCCATGGCTAGCGCATTTTGGTTTGGAGAGAATCCATGTCCAAAACCTATTGACGTCCATGGTCTAGCGCATTTGGGTTTGGAGAGCATCCATGTCCAAAACCTAATGACGTCCATGGTCTAGCGCATTTGGGTTTGGAGAGCATCCATGTCCAAAACCTAATGACGTCCATGGTCTAGCGCATTTGGGTTTGGAGAGCATCCATGTCCAAAACCTAAGTCCATGGTCTAGCGCATTTTGGTTTGGAAAGCATCCATGTCCAAAACCTAACGACGTCCATGGTCTAGCGCATTTGGGTTTGGAGAGCATCCATGAACATGTTGTACATCCACGAACTCAGCGACCGGCGTCGCACCAGGGGGGGACGGCCTAGTAGTAGTAGTAGTAGTAGTAGTAGTAGTAGTAGTAGTAGTAGTAGTAGTAGTAGGAGTAGGAGGAGGAGGAGGAGGAGCAGAGCAGTAGCAGCAGTTGTCGCAGTACAGTAGTATTAGTGGTAATTATTAGTAGCAGTAGTAGCAGTAGTAGTGGTAGTAGTAGCAATAATCATAATAATGACGACAAAAATAATGCGCGCAACATGGCAGAGACACAGATGGCAACAGTACGGCCATGGCACGTAGCCAGCTGGATCTTCGAGAAAGTTTGGAACCTCGTCGAGGGGCCGGCGCACCTCACTGGGCGTACTGGAGGCAGAAACGATTTGTTGGTTGATGTTTGCATGCGTTGAAAGCAGCACCGCTGTCACAGCCTGCATAACCATAGCCGCGTCACTATGGATGCGACAGCTGCCTGCAGAGCATTGCCTGCCCCCGCTGTGAAGATAGTTTGCTGCACCTAAGACGGCATGAGAGAGCAAGTGGATGTCGATGCATTTTAACCTGCTGCACTTGCAGGCAGCCCGGGCACTTCGTCATAGTCCTTTTCTGAAGCCATTGCAGGCTTCACTTGTCGGAATTGAAACGGTTCACACTGGACCAGGACCGTGCTTTGTATGTCTAGAACTCGGTCTGGTCTGGTATCTGTGTCTACGAATTATTTCTGCCGCGTTGTGGTGTTCGACGTTTTGCATTGCGTGGGTTGTCGCACATTCTCGTTTGTGCTCGCTGCGCTCCGGGCACCTTCAACACACATGCGATCCAACATGCAGGCTCACAGCAGCTGCATTTCACAAATTTCGCTCGCAACATACTGGATGAAGCAGCACAGCTATGTACACCTGCTCTTTCAAACGGTACAAGTTGGGAAGCGAAAGAGCAACCTAGATAAGGAGAATCTTGAGACTACGGCTAGAGCTCGCGGGCCTCACATTTGGCTGCTTGGCCCCGCTCTAAGTTGGACAGGGCAGCCATCCCCACCACGCGAAGGGTCGCCCCAAGTCACAACTGTGCCATCCGTTCTCGCTGCCGCGAAAGCTGCAGCGGTAGCATAGATAAACTCCTGCCAAGCACTTCGAAGCCCCTGACAAGACAGCTCGTCTGACGAAGTGTACGCGCTATCACGCCCCGGGCTCCACGTTGATGAGCTGATGCTGCACGTAGCTGCTGTCACCTCGGGCTGCGGGCGGGCTGCCGGCTGGTAACCGACAGTTGTGGCATCCACCTTTCGCATCCCAAGTCAAGCCACCGCCACGCAAAGCTTGGCCCCACGTTACCACGGTACCATCCCGTCCTAAGTCGGTCAGTCGGTCGCATTAGTTTCTGTGATCCTACGGCGGATATCGCTCTTCTGCTTCAATTCAAAGCAATCAGCCGTCTGCTTTGGCCCAGGTTCGAACTGCTGCGAATGCGTAGGCATTGGCACACACCTGCTTGTGGGGACACAGCTGCCTGCTTCTGCAAAAGCTTGTCCCCGACAATGGCCTTCTGACATGTCCGCAAAACTCCCCTCCCAGGCCCATTTCTAAATCCTGCCACATCCAAACGTTTGTAATCCTTCCATATTTGAACACGTTCGCCAAGCTTTCCAGACACGGGCCTGCTCGACATCTCTCAGCTGTTCTTGCACCATGCTGCTGTCTCCACCTTTTTGCGACTCTCCCCACGTCACCACCCGGCCATCCCTGCCTCAGCTGACAAGATGCTCAAACTTTGTGGCAGGCTTCGCATGCTGGAGCTCCGTGCGGGCGCAGGTGCGGAGAGCTGCCCATGCAAAGGAGTACACTTCGATGGTCACCACATCGATCAGCTGGTGCTGTACATCCGCACTGTTGCCACCCATGTCTGGGTGGCCCCAGGTGACAACCTTCTTGGAAACAGCAGCAGGGTGACATGCAGCAGAAGCATGCATGAACTTTCCTACTGTGAAAGACTAGCACGTGGTGAACGAAGCACGGACACATGAACACTCCTGTCCGAGATTGTCCGAGATACTCAACAATGTAAACCACAGTAATGCCTGCAAAGCCACGGATCCGTCATCTGTGATCGCTGCGAATGCAAGGGCGCGGCGCGAACTGTACACTTTCTTGACCTCACTGGCGCCAAAAGGAGCATGCCGCTGAAAATGAGCTCATGGACATGGCGCTCTTGAGCCATGTGAGGGGGAGCATAATGCAAAGCTGAGCTGCAGAAGACAGAGATTTCCGAACTGAGGAGCTGTCGCCTCCGGCATCCCCCTCTCAACTTCCAGCACGACTCTGCTCTACTCGCTCGGCCCCCTCGGACGGGAGCATAAAGCACTGAGCCTCCAAAGGCCGGATCTCCCCAGGTCACGACGCTGCCATCGCGGAGCCGTGCTGCAAAGGCGCTTGCATTGGAGGAGACATCCTCCAAACAGAGGATGCGCCGTGGGCTGCTTGAAGGATCATGGGACTGACTAACTACGGCTTTTTTTCGGGTAACTGATAACCCCAATTAAGGTACTTATAACTTGTAATAACCATACTTACTAAGTCCCATGATCCTACAAGTACAGAGCATCTAAAGCAAGGTGCATGGCCCGGCCTGAGCCGGAAGCAGCCCTTCCATAGAAGCTGCAACGGAGCTTACGTCGCCGCCTCGATCTGGGCAGCCCCAAGCGAGGAGATGCCCCTCCACCGTCTCCGCTGCAAAGGCAAACTGGTTGGCGTGCAAACGCGTCACCACATTGCGCCTTATAACGGTTCTCGTGGATGCTTCCATCTCTTACATCAAACTTGCGAACCGGGCAGAATACTGAAAATACCGATTAGGTCCCAATGAGCACTGCAAGTCCACCGTCGACCCGCATGAACTAAGCCTGCGATTGATGACGGGATTCGATGTTCAAAGGCCACTTTGGCTACTTGGTGATGCTGCCCGTCCTACCCCCTCGCTGTCGATCATCCTCATAGTCTCATTCTTTCGCAATTCTTGCGGGGTGCAAGTACAGAAAGAGTCAACTTTGTCAGGCTTTATCTGGCTTCTCGGTAGAAATTTCCCCCGAGAAGTTGACTGCACCATGCAGCAAAAGAGCTCCAGCTCGCTCTGTCTTGCCATGCTGTCACCACCATGCTCAGGGTGGCCCCATGTAATCACACGCCTGGGCTCTCAAACTGCAAGAAATTGGCACGGGTGAAGTTTTCCTAAATGGCGGTCGATACGGCGCGAGAGCTGCGAGACGCGTTGCACTTTCCTGGGTTGCACGAGGGCCTGGGGTGCGAACCCGTCATTCCGAAGGGCTGCGAAGGCGTGCGAGTTGGCGCAAATCTGTTTGACCTGAAACTACGCTTCTCGGCAGGGAGATCTCTATCGGTCTAACGCTAGTCCGGCAGGCAATGAAAGCTACGTAGGAAGGAGTAAAGTCAAGCCGCCCCAATCAGCTGTTCTCGCACCGCACTCGAGTCACCACCCATCTGTGGATGACCCCAGGTGATGACTGTACCGTCGTTCCGCACGGCAGCGAAGGCGTGCCTTCTTGGGGAGCCATTCATGGAAAGACTCAAAAAAACAGATGCTTCGAATCAAGGCCTCAAACCAGCAAACGAAATTCCATCCGAAGTCCTCGTAACGAAAACCATTTCGACTTTTCTTGTAAGCTGTGCAACAATGAATGGGCAGGCGATACTTCCTTTGTCCAACTGGCGTGCCGGGGTAGATTTGTTCGGGGAGGATCGTGGCAGGCTAAACCAGACCAAGAAGAGCTTCGCTGAAGCAGCAAGGTATTCAACACTGTGAAGGTCTCCCTTCACGAAGCTGCTGTCGCCTGGCACGCAAAGCAATAAAGCAAAAGTAAAGCAACAGCAAGGACCGCTTTCACAGGTAAGGCAGCGCTGCAATGCCGCTTTTTGTTGCTCCTGCCAGCACTCCGTCCAGCCCTCCGGCAGAGAACCTACCTGGAGAAGGACAGCAGGCATGCGTTGCGCATACAGCAGGCCGTCGTATAGGCCCCGTCAGCAGGGCTAGGACGGGACTTCTTTCGTAAGATCCACTTCTGCTTTCATGTGGAAGCCGCGTCTGTCACTGTCCGGTACGATGCATACGTGCCCAAGGCCCTGCTTCAGCCGGTGGCATCCGTTTTCCTGTTTTGGCTGGTATGTTTCGGGATCCTGGATCACGTAGAAGGAGTTGCCTGTCTCGTCATACTCAACATGCATCCAATCCGACGAGATCTTCCCGTTGTTGTACTTCCAAACCGTCGCCGCCCTTTCGAGGCCGGTGCCACCGAAGTGTACGTCTGTGCCTGTTACACCCGTGATTCTGGAGCTCTGGCCCACGGCGAGGTCGCCTCTGAGATCCTCAAAGAGCCCTCCCAAGGCTGCCTCTCCGGATTTGTGGCCGCTGCTTATGTCCTTGGCAGTCTTCACAACGATGGCTCCGGCCGAGCCCTTTGCTGATGAGTGCGCAGATCCTGCCGATCCCGAGGCGAATCCAACTACGTTGCTGACCAGCATCGTTGCGATTTTTGTCTCGAGGTACTCCACGTTGCGATTGTAGGCCATCGTAGGGTCAGGAGGACGCACTGTACCGTCAGGAGACGAAGCTGGGCACTTGTCGGCAGATGCCCTGTCACCACTGTTGTCGTGCCCGACAAGCAGTTCGCCTATAGTGCCTGTGCAAAAGTATTTGCTTGTCCAGCAGCACATCCCCTCGTGAAACCAGAAAGGACGATCAGGTCGGATCTGCTTGAAGGCATCGCAATGATGCCACTCTATCGGAATGAGCGTAGTGTCAATGGAACCCTTCTCCACTTGCGATTTGCAGCAGCACACAGGGTCACCGAGGGCTTCTTCGTCTGCGACGGCCGAATCCAGAGCAGGTCGCACACCCGCCACGGGAACTCCAAACACGAATATGGTGTAGCCAGCAAGCCTTGCAACGTGCATCAGTTCACCGAGACGGCAGCTGCTTATGGATTGCACAGACAGTGACGATGGATGTCTAGACTAACGAGAGGCTTGATGCTCGTGGCTTCCGGTGCAGGCCGGCCGCACGACAACATGCTGACGTGGTAATACTGTTCTAAACTGAAAGCACTTTCATGGCTGGCTTCCACTGCCCGAACTGCACAGCAAACGCTGCACTTCTTCGCCTCCCCTGCCGGCATTGCCCCAAGTGACGACAGAGCCGTCTCTTCGAAGAGCTGCGAACCTAACATCAGCTCAAAGCCACACATAACACTGAACAACTAACAAAGCACTGTACAAACGGAGCTCTTGCGCTTGCAGACCAAGTGCGCGAAAGAGTGCGTGCTGAGCTGCAGGATGCCTACGAGATCGTCCTGGACAGCCGAGCCTTCGAACGTCTTCCGGGTAATCGAACTTGCCGTTCCGCCGATTAGGTTAGCATGCCATGACACTGTGACTCGCTAGCAGGTCTGAAGAATTCTGACGAGCCATGCTGCAGTCGCCCCCTCGCTGGGGGTGGCCCCAGGCCAGTGCTTCTCCATGTTCGGAAACCACAGCAAAGGCAGCGCAGCCAGCATGAAGCCGCGGGACACGGCTCAGCAGCATGGTCACCTGATTTGTGGCATGAGTAGAGCAGAGCCAAAGCGGTTCAGAAACCACTTGCTGCCGAAGCCACAGCATCACCATCCCGCAGGGACCTGACTGCTCAGAGGAATTACTCTCAGTCGCGTTCCATCAGGCGTACGCCTCGCCTTTGCACACAGACACAGTATCAGTAGACTCTGCTCATGTATGCTGGGCAGGCAGCTCTTGCACTTTGCTGTGCGGCGCAAGAACCTTGCCCTCCGGAGTCACCAAGCCCTGCAATGTCCAGCGTGTAGTGTGGCGAAACCACAGCCACAAGCAAGCTCTCCAAGAGCCTTATGCCTTCACCTTCGCGCAATTGAAACTTCGGGCCCCCTCCCCCGCCTGCAGGCGTGCTCCCAGAGCTGCCCCTGCTTGAAGCTGCAGGACCCAAACCGCATCCTGTGGATCAACCTGCCGGGGATACGGAAGGTGGCGAGTGCGGGAACACAACGCGACCGACAGCCGCTGCTCCGAACCTCGACGTCCCGCTGCTCGCCACTCAGCAAACCCACGGATACCCGAATTGTCATGGCGGCGCTAGGGCAGGGCTCTATCAAGACACGTTGCTATGCAAAGCCTAAACCTGCGCCTGCAACAACCGATCCTTCACCGAGAGGGCTCGGAGTCCTTCAACCTTTTTGATCCTACCATGTCATGCTGCTCTTCGAACTCAGGGGCTGACCTGCAAGGTTCGCTCGATATATACCGATGCACTGTTCCGTGAGCGGTCCTACATGCAGCTGTCTGTGTGGCATATCCGGCGGTACAAGCTCGGGCCAGTCAGCGGCGTCCCAAAAACGAAGTGGTGCCTCGATGCTCTATGCCGCTCCAGCTCCTGATGGCACAAGCGGCTTGTAGTGTCGGTGATCTTCTGGCCAACGACTGAAACAGCTGGCAAGGCGTCGCTTTCGATGTTTCTGCTTGTTTAGAAGCAAGCGTGACAGCGAAGAAAGCCTGGGCAGCAGACATCCCCTCAGTGCTGAGGGGTGCGTGAAGGATCACATACGCCACTCATCAGCACTCTCTGGGGAAGTGCGACATGGACCCACTTGGAGCGGTGTTTCGTGTCTTGGGGTGCTCTTGATCGCTCAAGAATCTGTCCTCCGTCCTCGTTTTGACGGTAAGGGGTTAATGTAACATGAAATCAGCACAGATCGCTGCACACGAGAGCGGGCACACGCCAAGAGTTGCGGCTAATAGTTGGCATCTCATGTGATGTCGGAAACTCAGGCCTCCTAAAGCTAATGCTGCTGCTACACACACACACACACAAACACACACACACACACACACACACACAGCGTGTGTGTGCGCGCAGACAATCAACGGGTGACAAAGCGCTCTGGACTCTGGAAGGCAGCACACACTGTTGGATCCATGCTGCAGTGCAGCACTTTCCTGGGTTGTAAGGCGAAAGGGGGACAGGGGCGCAAATCCGCTACCCTGAAGGCGTGTAAGTTTTCGCAAATCTCTGAAGTGGTTCTGTACTTCTCAGCATGGGGATAATCGTCATCGGCCCATCGCAATGGTGCCTGTAGTAAACACATGATATACATCATATAAATTCAATCAGGCCGCCCCCGATCAGCTGTCCACGCACAGTTCGAGTCACGGCCGGTCTGTGGATGATGACACTGCGAAGGCATACCTTGTCTGAGAGCCATTCGCGGGGAAAGATGTACGAACAGTGGCAATACATTCCGCGTGGGCAGCCATTGTAAGTAGACAGGAACGTGTATGGGAGGCCCCTCAGGTACGCAATCGATGGAAAGGTGCTTCGGATGAAGGTCCTAGGTCCTGGGTTTTAAGAAATCCTCAGTCGAGACTCATCTCAAACTTGGGCGGCATTTCTCTGTTCGTTTTTGCACGCCAAGGCTGAGGAAATCCGAAGAGCTTTCGCGAAAATTGTGGCAACTGGATGGGTTCCCCACATGCCGGGTGCAAATACATTCTGGTGTCCTCATTCCCTTGCTCTAACTTGCTTTTTATCTGGACTACAGATGGTCGGAACCTCGAACTGAGCATAGTACAACAAACCAATCCGAGCAAAGCATAGCCGCGCTGAGGCAAGGGCTCCTTTCACGAAGCAGCTGTCACCTGGCAGATTCCCCCCGACGCACACCACTTTTGCGAAAGCAGTAGCCAGAAACGCTCCCACCAAACGTACTGCAATGCTGCACTGGTACATCAGTCTTTCTTTCTCAAGCGAACTCGGCTCCTCGGTTTGTTCAGTCCTCCAAAAGCAGAGAAACCACCCGAAGGAGCCCAGCAACCGTGTTTTGCATACAGTAGACTCTGGCTTGGACCCTCTCAGCATGGTCGCGACGGGACTTCTTCTGCGAGATTCACCACTGCTTTCATATGGAAGCCACGTCCGTCCGCATCTGGTATGACGCACACGTTCCCAAAGCGCTCCTTAAGCTGGACACATCTTCCACCGTCCTGTGGTGGCTGGTAGGTCTTGGGATCTTGGATCATGTAGTAGGAGTTGCCTGTCTCGTCATACTCAACATGCATCCAGTCCAACTTGATCTTCCCGTTGTTGTACTCACGCACCAGCTTCGCCCTTTCCAGGCCAGTGCCGCCGAACTTCACCCCGGTCCCTGTGACTCCGCCCCTGACTTTTTTTTAAGCTCTTGCCCAAGTTGAGGTCGGCATTAAGGTCCCAGAAGACCCCTCCCGCTGCGGCCTCCCCTCCTTTCATGCAGCCGGTCGTGTCATCCACCATCTTCGAAACGGCACCGCGGGGGCCCTGTGCGGCCCCTGCTCCGACGGCGAATCCGACCACGTTACCGACCAGCATCGTGGCGAGCCTTGTTGTGACAACATCCATTTCGGGTCCACGGGATTCACCATGCCCTTCGGAGATTCAGCTGTTGGGCAAAAGTCCGCTGAAACTCTGTCGCCACTGTTGTCGTGCCCGACGGTAAGTTCACCTAAGGTACGCGTGCAGAAGAATCCGCTTGTCCAGCAGCACGCCCCCCGATGGAACCAGAAAGGTCGGTCGGGTCGAATTTGCTTGAACATTTGGCAATGATAAGGCTAGATCGCACTCCCATTCACCGTCGCCTTACAGCAACATACATCGTCTCTGAGAGCTGCTTCTTGACCTGCAAGTGTCGCTTCCAATGCAGGTCGTACAGCCCCAACCGGCAATCCAAACCTGACTAAGGCGTAGCAGGCAAGCCTTGCAAAATGCATCTGCGAGCCTGTGACATGCATCATGCTAATGGATTTTGCGGAGGTGATGAAAATCTGTCTACGAAGAGGCTTGATGCGCGCGGCTTGCGACCAACACCACACGTCAGTAGCTCAGCTCTCCCGCCTGACTGCCTGCGTAGCAAAAGGGACATCCCGGAAGATGGCAAGCATGCTGCATCAACACTGGCTGGAATCATCCGGCTCGGGACCTCGACGTCCTGCTGTTCGCCACTGAGCAGAACCTCGGACACGCAAATCGTCATGGCAGGACCATGCCATGCTGCACATGGAACTTCAGCGGTGCAAATGATGCTGACACCGCTCACACTCGGACAATCCAGGCGAGGCATGTGGTTCGGGGTCTGTTGAGTGAGACTGAAGTTAGAGGAATGATCTGACAAATACAATAATTCAAACACTGAGTCAGCAATTCCAACACCTTTCATCCCCCTCGAGTGTTTAGGGTTTGAGGGCATACACCTGTATATGTTCTGGATGTTTCACAAAGAGGCCTATTTCCGTTCTGGGAAAGATGTACAACGTGTGGCTGTGCTTCGTACTCAAATCCGAAACCGCGACAACTTAGAGCTCTGCAGCAAGTCCCAGCTTCTTGAATTTCTGGTTCTCCGCCACACACGAATGAAGCATCACTTGCAGCCCAACATGGGGAATTTTGCCGCAACGCTCAAACATCCGTCCTTCGTCCTCGTTTCAAGGTAAGGAGTCAGCAGCAGAAAACTGCCCGTGAGACCGGGCACACGTCAAAATTACGACTGGCAGTTGGCACTGCAGCATCTCAACCGCAGACTTCTTCGAGCTGATGCTTGATGGCCTCTGGGCCGATCCAAGCAAACAGCTCACCTAATCCGACAAGGTCTGTTTGAGTTTCTAGACACATACACACACACACACACACACACACACACCTCTGAACCTGTAGTGGGTGACAGAGCACGTGCAACAGCAGCACAGCCTGTGGGACGAGCTAAAAAAGATAGAACAACCGTCAGGCCTTCTCCCTTCGGGAGCATGACCCCGAGGAGTCTTGCAATGTACAGTGCAATATCGCATGTCATATGCCAGCCCCAAGTGTAAAGCAAAGCTTCGCTGCAGATAAGTTCTCAAAAGCACAGCTCCAATCGCGCAACATGTGCGATGCAACTCGTAGATAGGATATGCTTGCCAGTTATCAGCTCAGCAATTCGCGCTGTAGAATTACCGAAAGGGGAGTGGGTGGCGAAGCCAAGTGCAAGTAGCATCCGGACGGCGTTTCATAAATATGACCATAAATAATGATAGTATATATGAGTAGCAATTATATATATATATATATACGTACATAAGAAATATGATACACAACTACAACTAATATCAAGAAGCTCCCAGCTTGCCAGGCTCACTCCTCTCTCGCCGGAGGCTCGGTAAGCTGGGCAAACCAGGCCGATCCTCGGTGGACGGTCTAAACAAGAGCTTCCGACACGCACATCAGCTTTGCCCAGACGGCCCCTGAAGTTCACTTAAAAATGCTCAGGTTGTTCATGAAGCTTCCTAAGCTCCTAAAGCTACCCCTTCCACCTACGAGACGCTTTGGGGAGAGACACATGGAAGCGCAACACCTGCCCCTGGCAATCTGCGTGCGCATACCAGCCAACTCACACGCATCTGCGCATCGGCACACCCAGCACTCGGGACGGACGGACGGGCGCGAACTTCAAGAAATTAACGCTCTGGCAGTAAGTAACAGCGACCCGGCTACCAAAACCCGGTGCCTGCTGCTGCAACCATCAAGAACACGGTACAGAAATCAAGCTCTACACGTATGTAACGCGAGATGAATCTGAAGAGGGAGTATGTTCCAGAACGGCCGGCCTTGGCCGCAGTAGGAGGTCTCGGCGCTTCAGGAACACAAGGATTGGCGGAATGATTCAGACAAACACTGAAGCGGTAACAACATCAGAGCCTGTTTCTGTCTTCCTCTTCTTCAGCACAGCACTTGAAGTCCGCGCATGTGGAGATGAATTTTAATTTTACCTTGAAACGATGGTGCTGGAGAGCTTACCGTGACGACAGATGCACACCTCCCCTGGCACAACTTCTGCAGTCCAGCGTTGGCGATCGGCTTCTGGAGATCCTGCAAGCAAGAGCCTCAGTGCCGTAGGGCCATCAAGAGACTTGGCGCCCTCTGTCCCCGACAGGTCAACGTACTCCAGGGATTTCGGTGGTAGCACATCCAGCCCTCGAAGGCCCAAGAGGTTCCCCCTCAGGTTGGCGCGACGCAACTTCGGTAGCACGAAGACCTCCGCCGCGTCTCCCTGGATCTGGTTCTTGGACAGGGAGAGGTCCTCCAGACTGATGAGTCCCAGGACGGCACCAAACTCGCGCAAGTGGTTCTCATCCATATTCAGCACCCGGACGCCAAACGCGAAAGTGGCGATTGCTGGAGCCAAGTGGCGCATGGACAGACTGCTCAAATTCAAAGGTTTTGCGTAGCTCTCTGGGCAGGCAAGCCAGGTCTGCATCCTCTGCCGGGTGCGGGCTGCAGCCCCGGCATCTGAGTAAAAGTTCTTCCGCAGGGGATCAAGCGTGCTTGCATGTGCCGCGCTCTCTGCAAGAGCACTTTGAGTAGAGTTCTGCTGCTCTACAGTGCAGCCGGATACAAGCCGATCCTGCAGACGACTTTGTGCCAGCAGCGCCCACCTGCAGTCAGGCTCGATCTCCAGCAGCTCCTTTAACCTCTCGAGCTCCGTCTCAAAGACCTCCTTCCTCTGCTCCTCCAATCTTTCTCCTAAAAAGGCATCCAAGACTGCGAGACTGGAGGCAGGCGCAGAAAGGTCAATCATCGGACCCTGGAATTCAACCTGCAGAGTGGACAGAGGGGATGCCTTGCCATCTGGAAGGCTTCCGAAAACCTCGATGTCCACGGTGATTCGAACCGCCGCTGGGCTGCCGCACGCTACCGTGCCACCTGTCGCTTGGAATTGCCAACCAAGCGCACAATTACGCCGGCGTCTCGCAGATGAACGAGTCCGCTGCACCGCAGACTTTCTTGATGGGACAGTGGGCTCTAGATGCCCTTCCAGTTTCTGATCACCTTGCGACATTGAAGCACTAGACGCGCAAACGGGCTTCGAGAAGAACACAAAGACCTCACCATCCATGAGCACACAGTGTGTTATCCGAGGCGTTTCTGTGCCACGTGCCAACGTGGTCAGCCAGTTGTGATAAAGCCACACGGATTGGTCGTTTGGCTCAGTGAAGATTCCCTCCTGGACCCACTCCAGCTCCTGATTGATGTCTATCTCCATTTGTGGCTCCTGACACCGGGACACAAATCGTGAAGCTACGGCTACAAGGAGAAAACAACATCATGCCGCGCCTCTGTTCCAGCACGCTGCTGCAGCAGTGTGCGCAGATGCCACGCTGAGTAATTGGAGAAGTTCCTGTTGATGAGATCCGTGCTGAGCTTGAGATCAATGGAGCCCAAGTCAATCGGCTGCGGTTGATCCTTCTGCCAGGACCGCATCAGACCCATGACGTGCATGCGGTGGTTCCAGCAATGGAAATTTCGCTCGTCCACATCCAGGAGCCTCCCGCACAACTCCAGCTCAGTGTCGAGCAGAAGTTTCACGCTGTCCTTGGGCTCACAAGTCATGTCGTCAAGCATCACTGCGGCTGCAAACGCGCTTGGAGCTGTAGAAACAAGCTTCGTGGAACCTTGGGCCGTGTTTTCACCCAAGACCTGCCGACATGAGTGAATGAATGCATAAGAGCCTCAGGATCTGCTTTGAGCTCTTGGAATAAATGTTCAATGACCCACTTCCGGTGGAACCAGATGGAGTAGACTTTCTGCGATTTCCGCAGCGCCTGCAGCGAAGCCCACAGCTGTGTCGGCTTGCGGCAGGAGAGATTTTCTTACTCGGTTTTCGACTTTGCAAGATCGTGAAAAGTCGATGGTCTCCCTGCCCTGCATTCGCTGGAAACCCCATACTTGGCCAGCTACAGCACACAAAGCCCCTGAACTAGGATCTAGTGAAATCTAGTGGACTGAGGATGAGGATGAGGATGGATGAAGGTACTGCCTTCTCTAAGAGCTTCAGCTCCACTTCAAGGAGCTCCCGGAGAGGTTTGCTGATGCCGCTGGTGAGGAGCTCGCGCCTGTATCCCCAAAGAGTTGGGAACTCCGGGTGGAACTGAAGGGCCTTGGACGTCATGTCCAGGGCTTGCTCACTGTAAGCCTTACTCTGCCTCATCTCCAAGAGCTTTCCAAAGAGGCCACGAGCCGTTCGCACTTGCTCGCGCTGCTTCTCCTTCTCCTCTGGGCTGGGCTCCACGACATCCTTCTTCACACGGCCGTGCATCTGACTGGCTTCTATGCGTGATGCTGCCTCTTTGGTTGCGTGCTGTTCCCGCACAGCGCACCTGGAAGGTCGATGAGTCGATGAGTAATTCTGTGTGCGAGGCTGCGCCTATTCTTTCTGCAATGAGCTTGTGCGTCGTTCTCAGCTGGTCTCTGCCCTGCATTTTCTCGTGTACCCTTGCGCTGGAGCTTGGGAAACATCGGCTTTAAGAGACCAGTCCGAAATCCGCCCTACTGTACCCAGCAACATATCTCAGTGTGGATCCTGCGAACCTCACAATCTGCACTCCGATGTGCAGACCAGCCTTAGGTCCATATGGGTAGTTCTCCAAATTAGGCTTTCTTTCCAGGTCCGGTACCCTTGTAAAGGGGACCCTGTAAAAGAGACCCAAGTCTTAGAGAACTACCCATATGGCAAGGATCCCCAGTTTTCAGGCTCCTCTACCTTCACGACACCCCTAGGAGCCAAGGCTCGGGTAGTCTCCGCACTTCCGAGGCCACGCGCACAGGGACGCCAGCGACCGAACGCCCGACCTCTTCGGAAAGGTTGTGAAGAACTGTGGGGAGTCTCGTATAGCACGGGGTCATGACCAAACGGATCCCAGTAATTCAGGGTGGAATCCGGGTAGCATTACGGGCTCCTGATTTTAAGTCGGAAACTCTCATATGAGTTAGGAACTCTGGGCTATCGTTGAATGCGTGTTATGTTGGCTCCTTTTGCGGTCACGACTCGGCGCTGACACTCGTAGCGATGACCAGGCCTTTTGACTTTCCCGGGAAACTGAAGCGTTTTTTGGAATCTTTAACATCCTTCTTGTAGAAGTCATGTACTCTTTGGGGGGACAAACAAGAATCCTGACTTGGTGAGGTGAACAAAAGCTAACTGAAAGAGGACACTTCTCAATTGAAATTGGACATTGGAGCTCCGAAGTAAGCTCGGAGCTCCGCTAAGAGCTCGCTTCTTCTTGATAAAACACATGCTCCGTATTGTTCCTTGCAAGTCATGCCAAAACCGACCCTGCCGCCGGCCTGTTGATCACCTGGGCCAGCCAACGATCAACGCTGCAAAGTGGACAGCACCGGAACTGCAGCCATGCCGCGCATCAAAGGATGTGGCAGCAGCGAAGGCATGCGCTCAAAACACCACTTCGGTTGGGCGCCGCTTGGCAGCCTCAGCCAGCGCGGTCAAAACAAATGAGATGGGATTGGCGGCTGGTAAACCCAGTACATGCGGACGCGGCCTCCACAAAACGGCCATCCAAAAGAACGTCTAAGGATAACTGACCCAAGCTGTGTGACAGTGATGCACGTCAGGACACCCGCGTGACGCAACATTGAAGAGTCGCGCCGAGGGTAGCTGCACCTGCCTTGCTGCATGCACAGGTGGGCGACACACTGGCATCGCAAGAGACGTCATTGTGCGAGCACTGGGCACGCTGTTCAATCAGGTCTTCTATGGCAGTCTTGCAGAGGCGCATGTAGGCGGTGCAGCTATCGCCACTGCTGCCAGGGAAGCTTTCCTCCTCGAAATCACAATGGTCATGCGACGAGGGGGGGCTTTCTACTGCAGGAGACCTGACCAACTGCGCAACATGTTCACACCATCGTCCTGTCGCCGTCTCGGTACACCACGGCCTCCATGAACGAAGCTGTGGTGGACCTGGTTGCGACCGTCTAGGTCAGATGCAGCAAGCCCGTCAGAGTGGGAGCTCTCTCTCGAAGGTACTCAAAGAAGCAACGATGCCACCAAAAAAAGGCGCGACCTGCGGAGGAGAAGGTGCATTCCTCAGCTGAGAAGAGCAAAGTAGTCGTGGCATGAAGACCGCGCCGTTCTGCTTTGGACATAATGCGGAGCCTGACCCTCAAGCCAAGTTTCACTGGCTTGGGCGGTGCAGGCGCTGCCAAGTCGGGGCCGCGGATGCTTTGGTTGACCCACCTTGCATGATGTCTGGATTGTCACTAGCTGCTTGAGCCTGGCTCACAAACAATCTGTGGTGACGTGCTGGCCTCTCAGGCACTCAACGAGACAGTTTTTGCTCAGCAGCTGATTGCAAGATTGGCTGTTCATTCTCAGCTGTCAACAACCGTAGCATAGATAACCAGCACGTTTTCACAGTTGTCGAACATAGACTATCAGACCAACCAGATTTAGCTGCAGGTTGAGCAGCGCAAGGTGGGCCGTTTGCCCGTGGTGTCCTGAGCTACACCGTTCGTGGAGGGGGAGAGATGCAGAATTGGCCCTTGCACCATCGGTATGCACATGATCACTGGAAACCGGACGAGCTAGAGCTGAACTCCCGGCTGTGCTTCAGGGTTCAACTTGTCATGTGTAGCATGGCCCATGCGCCTTGCGTTCCTTCTCGGCCATATGTATGTATCTGCTGCAGCGGCATGCATCTTATCCTTCTTGCTGGCTTAGAGGGGGGCCTCATGGCAACCCCTGCGCGTACACCCTGAGCCGCACGTTTGACTCTGATCAACTTCCATTTGACGCTGCCGTGCTTGACCTAATCTCCATATGAGACCTGTTTAGCCTAATCTCCATATGAGACCGGATACATCCCACGCCTCTGACTCTCCCTCTCTGATTTCTCTCTCTTGCAAGCCAGCAGCGGATGAAGTTCCGGACCTCGCTAGCGGAGAAACATGCAGGCTTGTGACGGGTGCTGGGCTGTTCTTGCCACCCCTTCGCCACCCCACTCCCACACTTCACACAAATAAACAGAATTCCGACTCAACTTGCCACGACGCTTCATTCACCCAGCAAGCACTTCTGTGTTGGTCGTCGCTTGAAGACTACCGAGCGATCCAGACAAGTCTGTAGCCTTACCCCAGCACGGATTTTGAGCATGAGGCCTCTGCAGCATCGCTATGGATCTGCCGAAGTGATTCGCCCTTGGATGCACGCAGCAAAATTCTGCTGGCACTGCTGGCCCCAGCAACGTAAGCAAGGCTAGCCCAGAATGCCCTCTTGGACTGCAGGGGAAATACTTGGACACAATTGGACGTGCAATCTCGTTTAGGAAAGTGACCTGATTCCAGGATCCAATCTCTGCATTCGTAGATGTCCATGCCATGGCATCACCAGGAGCTGCTACACAGACTCCCGAGGCATAATGTACTGCTTGTAATTCTGACTTCCGCTGACGCCATCTCGTCCGTCAAAGCAATCCTGCTGGTGCCGTGCTTGCATGTCTGAGCCCGTGTGCACTACGGTCCGAGACCTTGGGGGGGCTTGAGTGCAGCACGCACTTCATAGTTTCGAGGCACTCTTTCAATCCGGTGCTCAAGCATTTGCGGACTGACAGCCAAGACTCTGGCAGCATGTACACGCATGCATGCACCGGGAGCGTATGTTGGACTGCCCTGAGTAAAACCCCGAGCAGTGGAAAACAAATGTTGACAGCAAACAACCCGCGGTTCGAGTCTGTTCGTCATTGTGCAGATCAAAACCTTCGAAAGTTCGTAGTAAAGTGAAGCCGTGAGCGAAATTGAACTGGTTGCACCTATGAGGTAAACAGGAGGTGTGCATGCGGAGCCCGCTAGGACCGGCATCCCCGATCGGATGAAAGTGTCAAACTTTTTCGAACTACTCGCGCACGACCTAGCTAAGGGCAACCATTCTACAGAACACGCACGGCCAAGTCTGAGCCATCCACCGCATAGCCATCGACAGAATGCTCGATTTTCGATCCGACCACCCTTATGCTTTGCTGGTGAGTGCTTGATGATTTGCTATGTTCCTATGAAGAAGCACTTGGCCTGACAATCTCGCCAGCAGCCCGCAGGGGCAGCGCTGAGCCGAAACGAACGCGTGCATGAGTGTCTATCATGTTGCAGTAGATAAATGCCCTTGAAATACAGCAGAGCGCGTACTCCCAAAGATGTTGCAAGCCTGTCTTATGTTGCGTTTTGCGCGACACCTGCCCAAGTTCATGACACCTCTACTCCATCTGCTTGAATCGTTGACGAGCTCCATTGGCGATGCGGCAAGCTGTTTGTTGTCTTTCTGCCATGTCATCTGAAGTAGAACTCCCAGCTGCAGTCGTTTGGCCTGGCAGAGGCGGTCGCACATGCTGGGATCTTTTTTGGGGGGTCTGATGGGGTCTGTTTTTTGGGAGTTTCCGAAGGGACCCTAATATAGCACCCTAAATGGTATGATCCTTATCATAAGGACCCCAGAATAAGTTACCCCTAATTTTCGGAAACACCCTTGTGGGTCTCGAAGATCGCAAGCGAGAACCCGTGCTGTCCCAGTGGCGGCTGCCCAGCTCCTTGCGGGTCCATTGAGACAAGGTGGTTCCAGGTGGTAGTGGCTCGCTGCTGGTCTCCTCCTGCCATAGCAAAGGAACGTGGGAGCGTGCGACCTAATCCACTTTCCGATAACGTCCGGACAATCTCGTTGGTGCACCTAGTGACTTATATAGTGCCATGTATGGAGCACTCTTACTGTCGCAACTACCCGACCAGTCAAGAATCATTTTGGAACGCGGCCTGCCACCATCAAGGCGACGGCATTGCGCCAGTATAGGACACTGTTGGGATCAATCCTCACCGCCTCGCAGCAAGGCGAAGATCTTGAGACATGAGAGTAACTGGGGATGATAATAGGAGTCCAGATGCTCAGGGGCTATTCTTGTTGGGGACTTCCCGCAATCAAACCTTGTGGCGACAGATGGAAACTCGCTGTCCCAGCCCGGTGGTTCCGGATGATTCTCGTACGTTGACGGAGGGGTTTACACTGGGCGACGTTCCTTGTAGAATCCACCTTGAAAGGCAGATCACCTAGATTCCTAGATAAGGGGCCCAAAACCAAAAGCAGTATCATGCGATATCACAACATGGCCATGCCTGGTCCAACGCGTTGATGGCATGCTGGTAGTACTCCTTTGGCAGCACGCCCGTGACAGCGCCGAGCCCAGCAGCACAGGCCATGTTGTTCAAGGCCTTCCACACTTTGATCTCGTGACAAGAACTGAAAGTTTCCGAAAATAGGGGACCCTCAATATAGTACCCTACCCTAAGCCTACATAGCAGGATCCTTATTACAAGGACCCTAAATCGCTGGTCAAACGGCCAACGCAGGACATCAGTCTGAGGCCTTGGTGAAGCTTGGGTTGATCGCCAGGGCTTTCTGAAAGTGGGCGATTGAGGCCTGCCTCGGCAGAGTTGGGAGGGTGCGCTTTGGAACCACACTTAACTGATGGGAGGCCAAAACCCCTTTTGGCCTCCTATGATTAACTGTCTGCTTCGGGATTCAATGCCAAGCCCCGGAGCCTCAAGATAGTTGAAAAGTCAAGTTGAGGTCTGCTAACTGCCTAATTTGTCGACTTCGTTGCGGCTTCTGTGTGAACCACAGGGAAAGCGCGTAGTCGTGCCAGATTTCCTCCTCCTCGCAAGGCTGTCGATTATCGCATCCCTACCTGGTGCATGGATGCTGTGTGTGTGTGTGTGTGTGTGTGTGTGTGTGTGTGTGTGTGTGTGTGTGTGTGTGTGTGTGTGTGTGTGTGTGTGTGTGTGTGTGTGTGTGTGTGTGTGTGTGTGTGTGTGTGTGTGTGTGTGTGTGGTGGTGTGTGTGTGTGTGTGTGTGTGTGTGTGTGTGTGTGTGTGTGTGTGTGTGTGTGTGTGTGTGTGTGTGTGTGTGTGTGTGTGTGTGTGTGTGTGTGTGTGTGTGTGTGTGTGTGTGTGTGTGTGTGTGTGGGCGCGCGTGTGTCTGTGCCTGGCTGAGCAAGGGAACACCCGGTGTCTGCAAAGGGCAGCTATGTCTGATCCAATGCCCTGTCTCTCCAATGTGTGCAGTTTCATGTGGGGCTCAACCCGCCCTACTAGTACTGCATCAGTCCTGTATCGTCAATGGGCTGAAAAAGCCATTCACTGCCTGGCCGGGCACACTGACAGCATTGGAGACACGCAGGAGGCAGGCATGATGCATCACCTCTTAGTACTGCTGCGTTGCTCCCGCACGGAAGCTCTTGCAATGTTGCATTGGTTTGAGAACAAGCGGTGCAAGCTTTGGCTCGGAACGGACCTGAGCACTGACCGAGCAAGCGGCTTTTGCAGCGTTGCGAGAACGACTGCTCAGACAGACGTCGGACAAGTGATTCAGAAGCTCATCAACATTACGAAGCGGCTGGCTCTGCAGCTTGTTTAAGGATTGAGTTGGGATCTAACGCAAGCGGTTAGCAGTCCCTCACGTTTGCAAGATTTAGAACCATTCAGATCGGCACGAAGTGCTTACGATCTGCAGGACAGCATGGTCAGCATCCCTCTTCATTTGTGGCTGACACTTACTTTGTCGGTCTGAATGCTGCCTATGGTTGACTGAGGCTGTCAGTCCGGGCGCTACGGGGTGGAGGATCAAAAAAATTTAAAAAGGATCAAAAACAAATTTAGGCTGAACGGATCAAGAAAAATTTATGAAGGATCAAAAAAAATTTAGGGATTGGAGATTTGCTGCAAACAACGGCAAGTGCTATTCCAATATTCAATATCTCCGCGTGGCCGCCCCCAGCTCGTCGCTGCCACCCACCCTTCCTACCACGGCGCCTCCCCTACCAGTGGCAGCTCGGAGATCTGAGGTTTGCTCGACGGAGATACTGTAGTTGTGTTACATGCTGGACATGCTGGTCCATGGTTTCTATTATTGTATATATATACACGGGCTTACCACAGATATGTGTATAGCTGTATTTATATATATATATATATATATATACGGCGATGATTTTTAAATACCCGGACATCTAAACAAGTTAAACAGGTGTGTCATACTACTTCCGTGGG